TCCTGCTTTAAAAATGCATAATGCTAAGTATTAGCCAATCAGATAGTGTCATACGATATTTATTATCTTCTACAGCATGGAGCATACTGATGACTGAAGCCCTTGTTCATCTAACATCTATTATAGATTATACAGATATAGCTAGATAGCGATTAACAACATTGCACAAAATGAAACGAAATCCAATATTGCAGTTTATCTGAAACTTGTAAATAAAGTTTTTATTAAACTTTGAGCCACACAGCGCAGGGTGGTGTGGCTAGATTATGACATACAGAGATGATAAGGAAACGATGGTGGGATAAAAGTTTAAAGCGTAATTAATCATGCAAAGACTGCGTGTTTGACAGGATCGATATTTGTGATATGATTTTAAAAGTAATGAGGCTCGGCTGATAGGGGATACTTTGAAATATGTATTTCCGAAGGGAAATACCATATATACTATAGAGTAGTAGATATTACTGTGCAAAAATAATGTAGCTTAAAAGGAGAAAAGGCTCTTGGAGATTTGAGAGTTATAAGGATCGGCCATATTGAAGTATGAGACCTATCGAGGTCAGAATAAAGCGTGTGCCAAATGGAGAGCTTCAACTGGCAGGAGATCAAAAGATATTGAGTGTTTCTTCAGTGGTACGGCATATTCGACATTGCGTAGTATCTGTTGTCTGAATTTGATGGAAGTGCAACATGGTAGGCAGCTTTGAATTCAACGATCTGTACCACAATGTACATATGGCTCCAAGAAATTGATTATACGCAAACAGACTTGTAACTTTTTCTGTTTCACTCACTGCATCCTCGTTATTCCGATCAGTCTGCCAAGACCTCTCTCGGAAAGTAGTCGCCGATTGCTGTTTTTGCAAGATTTCTGATAGTACCTATAGTCTCTCCAACTTGGCTTTACAATATAGGAGGGAAGTTGCTACTTGCTCGGTTGTTTGCTTATCATTTCGGCTCAACAGAATTCGTAATTTATCGTTAGCTCTGTAGACGACAATCGTTTTGGGCTTTATCATTGTTGATCTCAGACAGTCTCCTTTGGGTCCACGTCACTGAATGGATTGAGTTTTCTGATGCAGTATACGAATTTATAAAGTATCATTATAATTACACTTGAAGTGATTTTACCTGCTCCCACCTTCCTCCCCGTATTTTATTTTACGTGATTTATCCAATAAGTAATAAAATAACAAGAGGGACAAAAAGCGAAGACAAGCCTTAGTAATGAGATGATACTATATTCAACAAAGTAACTACTCTGTTTACACTTTTTACAGCGGGTACTACTTTGTAGCCACAGGCCAGTGATAGTCGAGTATGAAGAGATGGGTGTTAATAAGACTTGTTGTTTGGGGGATTTCTTATTGTAATATCCATCTATGATAGTCATTGTAGAATGCTTGTACCTGATTGATTATGATTCAGTTCCTGAAAGTATAGTTTGTCAAAAGAGCGTATATCCGTAGAATAAATGAGCTTACAATTTGTGAGCCTGTTCATTGGTTGAATTAGTTTATACGCTGTTAACTAGGGGTGAATTATATGTTATGAATGATAGATACATCAGCTTATTTCAAATTGGAGCTTTCTGATTTTTAACACAATTTCAAGATCTGTTAAACTTTGCAATCTAAATGGTTTTCCCCCTCAAGAACCGTAAGTCACTTCTCTTTTCATAAAAAACTGCATGATCAAATAAAACTCTGAAAAGTCCCGACTACCTTTTTCAAAAAGTGTGTACAACCACTGTAGCTTTTTAATATATGATGTCAGCATGGCTCAGGTGTCCTTTTTTACAATGATTACCAGCTTGTTCTTTTATTTGCAAGTATGCTGCTTAAGAAATGGTTACAAATTAGCTTGGCGAAACGAAATGACATTCTATTGATCTTGCAACTTGTTTAAAAATAAATATGTATAATTGAATAAAGATCCGATAAAATGGAGACAATAAAGGGTTCATTTCCAGTCATAGGGTGATACACGAGAGTTAAGGTGCATAACCACTCTTTTTTCTTCCCCCTTCTTTATTTTATAAAATTGTATCCTGTTATCTATTCAGTTTTATTCAACAAGCGTACGATGGAAAGGCAAGAAGTCAATTTTATATCGATTCCGATTAAGAAACCAGACAAACTCTCTTGGTTTTCTGCTTTGACCAAGTATATCACAGAAAGCTATGCAGAAGATGCAAAAAAGTATAACCAAGATTGCAACCTGTTGGACTCACTAAGGCAGCGCTGCTTAGAACAGGAACAAGTAGAGAACCCACTTGTGTTGGAAGATTTGTCAATGTAATCAAGACATACATTCTCGACATTAACTAACTCTGTTTTTTTTTTTTCATAGTTATTTTAACCAACTATCCTTTTTGGGATCAAAATTTCCTTCGGATGTAAGATTGATAAACAAGTGGGGTTTGTTATTCATACACTAAACATAACGCAGATTGGCTTAGACATAAGCTGGTATCCACTCTTTTCTTCCAAAGACCATCCCTACTGTCCAGGTATATTTGTGTGTGTGTGTGCGTGCGTGGTTAGCGTAAGGGAAAATGACATGTGAAATATAACAACAAAAGGTTCATAGACGTATTAAGTAATCTAAATTATGAGAAATCATGTGTATTACTACGAATGGCTGCTTTTTATAGTATCCTGGGTACTATGCAAAGTTCAGTCTCCACTGAAGGCATCAGAAAAGCTTGTCAACACTTTCAGGCAAGTACAAACAGGCTGCCAGTAAACAATTGTGTTGACTGTATTTACTATGGATAGCATGCAGCAGGTTGTTTAAAGTACATCCAATCAGATCTTATCAGCGAATTAAGAGCAGCCCCTCCTCGTGATTTTGAGCTATTGGATGCCTTGATTGCCCTCATGATTGCTCAAGCACATGAATGTGTATGGCAAAAGGCAGTGATGGAACATATGAAATACGGAACGGTAGCTAGGTTGGCTGTCAAGGCTTCAGATTATTATGAATCATTTCTATCCAATTGCAATTCACTCGTTCCTGACTATTGGAAGACGATAGGAGAGATCAAATACAATTATTTTAAAGCAGTAGCTCAGTATCAAAAGGCCAACGAGGCTATTTCATCAGGCCGTTACGGAGAAGAAATTGCCCGACTCTATTTGGCTAAATCAAATAACGCCGCAGCGATCCAAAAACTGTCCGAATTGATCAACCCAACACTACATCCCTCCTTTGTACAGCAAATCCATACATTGGATCATTCTATTGATAGAGATTTAATACGTGCGGAGAAAGATAATGATGTGGTCTATATGGAAACAGTACCTCAACCTAATCAGCTAGCACCGATCCTCAGATCAGATATGGCTAAACCCATCTTGCCTAGTTTCATCCTGGATCCTAGTTATTGGCTAGTCTTGACAGAGAGACCTAATGATTCTTTATTTATCAAAAGACCTCTCTTTGAAAAGCTTGTCCCATTTGCTGTCCATCAAGCAGTCAGCGTCTATAACGATAAAAAGAATTATATAGTTCACAATGATATCATTGAAAAAAATAGCGTACTTGAACAAGAATACCAAAAGTAAGCGTATTTTAACAAGGCAAGACAAAAATTAATTAATTACGAATGCAGAGTTATCACAGAGCTGCGATTACCTTATTCATTGGATATCATTGATACTTTACCCAAGGAGTTGCTGAGTTATGCAGAAGAAGTTCAGGATTTAGGAGGCATTCAGACACTAAACGACATGTTGCATAAAATACAAAATATGTCAAAAAAGGCACTTGGGCTAATAGAAGAAGGATTCAATGCACTTGAAGAAGAGAATGAACAGGATGCGATGCTTAGTAAACAATATGGAAAGCGTAAGTATATTTTTTAAAAAGGCTTGGGCTCATTCTCTATTTAGTTTGGAGTCGACCAACTTCGAGAGTGCTTACTCAAAACTTGCTTACCATGGGTACACAATACAATGACACCATTCAGGCTGCACAAAAGGCGGATCGAATTGTTCAGGCTAAAGTAGCCAATTGGGGAAAAGCGATCGCAATGCTATCTAGACCTTCTGCAGATATTTTGAGTCATCTGCCACAGCTACAGCCTGAAGATGAACTACATGCACAAATTACACAACTGTTAACACAGCTTCGACGTCAGTTGGAGTTGCTCGAAAAGAATGCAAAAGATAGACAAGATGTCGAGAAGGAGGTGAAAAAGATAGCTGAAAAGGATGATATCTCGGATGCTTTACTGAGCCGATGCCAAGAACTCACCAAGGGATCGCCTATTGTGAAAATACAGGTCGAACAATTTTCGGATGTGTTTGAATCGTACTTGAAGAAATACCAAAGTCATCAAGCTAGTTTACAACAGCATGCACATGAACAAGATGAGATAATATACCAGCTTAGACAGTTGCATATGCAATTGAATGCAATGGTTAGTAATGTACCAGTATTGATAAAGAGGGAAAAGGCGATATCCAATTTGGAAGCAGCGTACTCAAAGATTAAAGAAATCAGAACGAATTTGGTAGAAGGCATCAAGGTACATCTTTTCTTTTGTGCGGCTGCTATGTTTACTAACATTTACAATTAAGTTTTACTCAAATTATATTGATATTTTGAATCAATTCAAAAAAGAATGTACAGACTTCTGCTTGGCTAGAAGAATGGAAGCTGCTGATTTATCTCGAGATCATAACCCTGCCAAACTGTTACTTTACAGTAACAAAAAGTAGAAAGAATAGGCTCCTTGGTGAATAGGGAAATTTGAATTAAGTAAATACAATGCACTTTTTATATATCTAAAATTATAGAATTTTGTTTTTATTTTAAGAATGATATGCTTTCTCAATTATGAAAAGAGATGGCAACGTGTAAAAGTGCTGTTGCTTCGCAAAAAGCACTTGATGTTTAGCTATAAATGATATTTGAAATATCATCTTGTACGCTATCGGTGCAATATGCCGATTTGTTCAAGACTATTTAGAGCGAATATCTGAATCACTTCAATCAGCGTAGTCGCTGTCGTCGCTAAATAGTATCTTTCTTTCATCAGCAGGCGCATACAGTAGTGAGAGGGGACGTTGACGTGGAATGAAGGTATGTAAGTGTTATTTGCAAGGAGGTGTTTGATATAGAAGCCAATATCACGATTTTTAACATTGTAGGAGGAAGTGGTAATTGCTAAAAGGGTGTCGATGATACGGGAGACACAGCAGGCTCGCACCCTTTCCATTCCAAAATTCGTTGAAACAGTAAATATTAACAGCATAATAAGGCGAAGATAAGCACCAAGAGTGGTCACTCTAGAAACACTGGTTGATAAAGAGGTGTCAAGTCTATAATGGCTGTATTCAGATCAATAGTATAGTTGTTTGTTGGGGCAGATTTGAGGGTATCAGAAAAGCTATATAAATCCAATATCACTAGTGCGTTAGTGAAACAGACAGAAAAAGCCTAGTTGAGCTCAGTAGATCTGTAAGCGAGGTATTTGAAAAACGGTGCTTGGAATAGGAGTGAATAAGCGAGATGCAGTTCGTGTACCCATTCAATCACCGAAACTTCCAGCATCGATTGGCATTTGTAGGGGGTTTCCTTCATTAACTCTAGTGATGTATCCATTTGGTTGATCGACTGAAATAACTTGCATATGTAGACCTTTGATTCAGAAAAACAGAGCATACTGTACTTTTATTAATTATTGACGTTAATTTTATAAAATATTGTCGTAAAATAAAAAAATTATTTACATAAAAAGACGACAAAGAAAAATGTGTTTGAATAAAACGACATCATATCAAAAGAGAGAGATAACGAGTATATGTAGAAAAAGAGAGAAAGAGTATGTTAGTATTATGGAATATATCCTAATATTAGTTTTACTTACCACCAAGGTGCACTCTGGAGAGGGTAGCGATAACTACCCAGGATTGTATAAACAAAACAAAAAAAGGAACGGAGGACTGAGAGAATCCAGAGCGTCAAAAGAGACTATTGGGGAACATTTCAGATACACACCAGAGAGCAAAGAGGGCGAGACAAGCGAGTCAGAGCAAGGACCATGGGACCAGGCTAGGTTTGATTGGTGAATCTTTGAACACTCAGAGGGATATTTGATAGCTACTGTAAAGAAGCAAAAAAAGGACTCAATTAAAATCGGTTTTTATATGTTTTTCTTTTTCAAACGAGCTTCAAGGTCAGGTACCTAGAACAAAGAAAGCATATCAAATAGGAGAAATCTACACGGTGATTATTCAAGAATATGCATTGCCAAATATAACTACATGCTCTGATTTCATGGAAGAACCGAATAAAGAATTTAAACTTTTACAAAGAGACTAAAGAGAACCATTTCTAATATTAAGTTAACTTCAACTCCAAGGCAGCCTACCCGTTAATATTACTATCAAATGGGATAGTGAGCCATATTCTTTTTGTATTTGTTATTACTCTGATAAAATTACAATGGTTTCAGTACGACATTTAAACTTGAAAAGCACGACATCCAGTCTCAGTAGCAGCATCATTATTTTTTGGAAATACAGTATATCCATAGATATCAAGGCTGATACTACGAAAATATTCTTGGTGACGACGAGTTTGCATTTTGTACAGCATGAATTTTGTTCTCGATCACAGGCGAATTTACTTTCCGGAAAGAGTGTATATCAGTTCATCATAAACAATATATAGAGCAATTCTTTATCTTACCGGAATATACAACACCAAACGTACATGAATTACTAGCATCTCCTTGCTTCCTTGCAAAAGCATATCCAGCATGTCTTTTAAGGCTCTTGTATTGTATTTGTGCTTATATTTTTTTTTTTTTCCTTTTTGAAAACTTTTCGCTGTTATGGCACGTTACGCAACTAATTAAGAGATATGTTTCTTCTAAAATCCTTATCAGTAACTGTACTCCACTTTTTTCTTTCTCTGTTACTGTGCATGTACAGTTCATTCGCGTTACATAATAAATCAACGGAATGTGCGACAAACTCTCACAAAAAAGGTGAATTAAACCTTTTTCGGATGAATTGAAGGAACCCAAAAAAAAGATGGATTTAAGAATATTTTTTATTTCTTTTACTTGTTACATTCACAGTTTTTACGTTTATTTGAGAACTGATCTTGGCTTCTTGGCTCATCAAATTCAGGAGGATAATACAACCCAAAGAACTTTTTTATTCTCCAATAATAGGGCAAGAGCGGCCTGGGCATTGTCAGATGAATGATGTCCTTTGTAGTGCCATCGCCATAATTTATGCGAAGGATGAATGGCATGGTTTTCGATACGTTGTTTCGGGTGAGAATTGAGATAAGGTAGAAATGGTCAGGATAAAGTAATAAAGAGAACATAGGTTTTTTAATTATTCGTTTATAAAACAATATAGAAAAATAGCGCGTTGTACTATAATATGACAATCTGTCACACCCATTCGTACCAATGACCGTCTCACCACTGTTATGCGCATAATCAGAGTATCTACCTAAAGGTGTGTCAAGGTCTGGCCGAGGTAGATATCTAAGCCAATTACTCGAGCCTTTTTCTTCTCAAAATCGCAACCATTGTCGTACTTGCGTTAATTATATTATTCATCACATGTATTTGTTAGGATGGGTCGTATGGAACATCCTGTTCATGTAGTATGAGATAGATCTAGCCGGAGAATGTTCTTATCGTCGTTGTTCATGATAGGTTTGTCACCGACCGAACGGTGAATGCGTGTAATAGTTTTTGCATACTTGACGTGTTTGATGAGATAGCCATTATAATGACTCGAGTATAATCTTATAGTAGAGCATACATTCTACTTTATATTCCTCTATCACATCTGATAAGAATAACTTATAATAATAACTATAGTAGCTACTAGTATAACAATAATAACATAAGCATAATTTTTTTTTTGTAGAGGCGTTTTTAGCCAAGGTTTATTTTTAAATAAATGAAATAGCCACTTGAGATCAGTGGTGGGCTATTGAAAGACAGAAATACTAAAGAAAATTAAAAAATATAAAATTAATGCTTGAAGGATTCCAGGCAACCAATGATAGCCCGAAAAACCTTGGATGGGATAAAAGGATGTCCATTGAAAATAAACATCCAGTGTGCACGCCAGATGCACCAAAAGGCGCAACCGACAATACTTTCATTAGGGAAAGCAGAAAGTTTTTGAGGAGGAAAACGTAAATGAAATATTGCTTGCTCCATAGTATTTACTGTTAAAGTCAATTCACCAAAGAAATGATGCCAAACTCGAGCCCACACTTCGAATTTTTTGGGGCATAACAGGATAAAATGCATTTCATCTTCTACATTTGGAATTTGACAAAATCAGCATTCCGAGGAGAAGGAAGACGCTAGCAATTTATGCACCCTGGACGCACAAGGAAACTTGTGTTGTAACAGACGATACCAGGGAGTCCGAATTTGCAATGGGATCGACAAATTCCAAAATCGACGCCAAGAAGACATTGATCGAGGCATATTGGAAACTTGCCATCCACCAGATTGTTGTAAAAGCTGTTGGTGATGCTTGCGAAAGTTACGAGGCAGAATAGTATCAGAATTTGGCTCGAACCAAGAATGGACTAATTGACCACAGACTTCAGAGAGAGACAATGGGACAGCAGCCATAACACTGCCCGGTAAACAAAGGTGGACGAAAAAAGGGTGTAAAGTAAGCTGTCCGACTAAAAGCAGGCGAACGAACTTTCGGATGCGATTACGACCCTGAGAAGGTTGACTTTCCCCGTTCACCCATGCTTTGGGAATCAGATGAGAGTGATCAGATGATAAACTAAAAGCATGGCTAGCCTGAAGAGACTTATAAGGCCTTTGCACCCTAGGTGTTTCATTTGCAGGCCAATCTATGACTTCCGATAGTGGTAAGGATAAACAGGTTTCAACAGAAACCTTAGGACGTTCGGGCAAAGAGCTATTGAGCAAAGTAAGAACTGTACCAGAATCAAAAAGAGCGTCGAAAGACCGAAAGAGAACCGAAAGGACCCCTGGAGGATTCATTGCTAAAGGGCCTTTGTGAAAGGACGGGAAGAGAAAAGGCAATCTTGCGTCAGTAATTGACAGAGGTGATAAGCTAAGCAAATGAGCCCGCAATCATAAAGTAGTAAAACTAGAAGGATCATCATTGAGCAAGAGAGGAGTTAACCATCAATACTGAAGAGCCAGGTGCTGACAATTCGGCTCCAGGAAACCCGGTTCACCATGCTTGAGGGGTTGTTGAAGGGTGTCTAGCGATATAGATGGGAAAATCCTGAAACCAAGAAACTCGCGGCAAATCTTTCGGATAGTGTCAAAAGTCTTTTGGTTAATTCCAACTACTCTAAAAACATGCCAGAGCGAGGAAGGAATAAGCACATTGAGGACGGTTGCACGGTCTCGGATGGGCAGAGACCTTTGCTTAAAAATGTTACAAGCATTGGATACTTTTTCTACGATACGTCGTTGAAAACTATTTCGTTGTCGAGACGATTGTAACAGAGGGTATCCAGGTTATGTGCCACTTTTGTCAGGTGGCTTGATTTTGTTGTGCGAAAGAACCATGGTTTGTGCTAATATTACCTTAAAACAGTGGAGAGTCAATAGCTAACAGCCACCGCTTTTATTACAAGTCAGAGAGAAGAACTAATAAATTAGGGTATGACCTGAATACATATACGAGAGATGACGACTGTAAATGTCTGACATCGTCTATTAGCTGAGCATGAATAAATAGAGAATTAAGAGATGTGTGATCTATGTAAACACGACAGGGCCACCTAACCATTCCTTCTATGAGAGCAGTATCTCATACGATTTTGGGCGCGATTTCTTCTAAGTTTGTTGTATTCATAGAGCTTCGAAACCTCAAGAGAAATGGTCCAAGCGCATCAAGATCGATTTTTACAATCGCAAAAGAAAAACGCCATTTAGTAGTAAAAGTCTGTACCTAGAGGCGCTGTTACTGACCATTACCTTGTATTTCTTGAGAAATCTATGGATGAAATGAACTGTCTCCCTGAGGTGAAGGGCAATTACATAGTTATGGGCAATGCGCCTATTCACACTGCTAAAGAAATGGATGAACTTACAACTAGGAGAAGTTATAAGCCTATTTATCTTCCACCTTATTCTCCAGAGCTCAGCCCAATCGAACAGTTTGGGCAGTAGTTAAGAACAAAGTCAAACGTAGTAAGTTTGAGGACAAGGAGGGCCTAGTTACACGAATTGCTGAAGCTTGTAATTCTATCCCTCTCAATCACTTCCATGCGTTTATACAGCATTCTGTGAACGTTTTTAAAAAGTATTTGAATGAAGAACATATTTAAATCAACGCTCAATAAATAAAGATTGTTAAAGATATCAAACTTCAGGGAAATGAAACCCGCCCTTTGAGAAAATATTAACCGCCTTTTGATTTTTTTATTGGCTGCCCTTTGGCGTTGGAACAACTGCATCGCATTTCCCGGTTATTATTGCGTCTATACCACATCTGACAGCAATAGACCATAAACAGCTTCTAATAGTGAAGACACTAAAGGATCAGCATCCTACAAAGATAGCCAGTTGTGTAAGTAGATACACGTTCCTTGACGTGAAGATAGTTGTACTCCCACCGCTTTAGACAGTAATACGTTTTTATAACCAAACGAGTCACCCAGTAGCAAGGAGTTTTTACAGAATAATGCTATTGGCAACAATGAAGGATTGCGCCTCGTGAATAGTGATTGGGTAAAATTGGCTGCTATCTATCTGGAACAATGGTATAATATGCATGTGTGACGTTTCATTGTCACTGCCTATGATAATATTAGCCAAATTGAAGCTGTTTAGTAAGTAATTTCAATCGTTATTGTATCCAAATGCGCATCATCATTCTAATATTATTAAGGATAGAAGGAACAAGTAGGGCATCAACTGGCCGAAAGAACCATAAGTGCAGAGTTGGCAGCATACAATCCTTTTCAAAGCAAAAAACATGGCCACAAGTACAATTGTGCCAACTGCATCCTTGGTGAGTTGTGTCGTCGGTGAAGATAGACTTGAGCTAATCGGCGACACGAGCGACTATATGTAAATATTGTATAGTCTTTGTAAATAAATCTTCTTATTTTATATGGCTATTCTTTTTCTAAACATAAAAAGTGCTTGGAACATTTATTTATTTCCCTTTACGTATATTATTATGTAGGATATGGTGATTTCGTCTTTAAGCGCGATCATTTATTTTGTAAGATCCAACTAGCACAACTCCTTTTGATAGCAGTGAGGACGATTTCAATAAATATTAACACGTAGCTTCAGGAGGAAAATAAAGGACAGTTTGAGGATATTTTTGGTAAAGCATATAAATAGATTAGTACAGTAGCAGATAAGAATCCATTGTCATGTAATCTTAATTACTGTTGAGCCAGTAATTCAGGTGTTATTTAGTCAACTAATCAACAAACTTTATACGGGAGTGGAGCTAATGATGGAGTGTATATTGCTTTATACAGATGAAAAGTGACCAGAAGAGTGTTAAAGCCCCTTAATCAATTAAATAACTAATTTTATGATGTAAACGGGACATTTTTGATAGAGGGAAATCATCATTGTTTGACATGTAAAAGGCGTGTCATGGGATACCTTTGGCCGGTACGATTGCCATATGACTTGAAGGGCACAACCAAACAACGATATAAGCGAGATTGCTGAGGCAATAGCGCTGAAAGTATCGTGAGCGGTGTTTTTATGAGGTACTGTCATGATTATTATTAGCTGTTCAATTTGAAGAAGCGAGCAGGATAACCCAGGAAAGAGCCTATTTAGAACTATCATTCACAGCGCGAATTTGTAAGAACAGTTGAAAAGAAAATGAAAACTATCTTCAACAGTGAAACCACAGAACGAGCAAGATGTCAAAGGACGTCGACTTGGAATGAGGGCATGTAATCGCTGTCTGCCAGGAGCTGTTTGATGTAGCAGCCAACATCATACAGGAGTAAGCGGTAATTCCAAAAATATGTTGACAGTGCAGGATCATGCTCTTTCCGTTCCAAAATTCGTTGTGGTAGCAAATACTTATGGTATGGTGTAAAACGGAGATGAATATCAAAAGTAACCACTCTAGAAACATTGAGCCGACAAAGAGGTGATAAATATATGGTAATGGTATCTAGATCAATGATAAAAGTCCTCCTGAGGCATACAGAGAAACAAAGGCAGGAGGTAATATCACGCACCTTTGGAGAAACAGAGCAGCAAAAGCCGTTGAAGCCGAGGATATCTGATAGTCTGAAGATTGTGTATGGCAATATCGCTGATCAGGAGCTTATGTAATCAAGATGATGCTTATAGGATATTTACTGGTAGACAACAATTACGCTAGAGTCAATACTTTAATTATAAAACCGACCATTAAAACTGCTCTAGTGATTTCATTTTAGCGCGCTTCAAGGGGGAAAAAAGGGCAGAAAAGCCAGAAGGGACATTTTTGATCTCAGAAGCTTTTTAATTTTGAAACAGTAAGAAAAGTTTCCTCTCAACCTTCTTTTGCGTCTTTTTCTTATAGTCCGATTATGCCTCATCATCAACACAATCCCTTTGTGAAAAAGGTTCTTGCCTTATTTAAAAAGACTCATGAAGGCGAAAAGTCTCAATATCCTACAGAACTTACAAAGAAATACAAGATTGGCGAGAAGCAGTTAGGTGTTGGTTCCTTTGCAGTTGTAAAGGAATGCGTTAATCTGTCAACGGGTGAACACTGTGCAGTAAAGATTATCCTGAAGAAAGTTATTGCTGGTAAGCTCGTCATATCGTGAATATGAAGCAATATTGATTTCATCCCGGATAATAGGAAAGCAACATATGCTAGATAGCGAGCTAGGTACCTGAGAGAAAATAGAGTGACTATGTTGGGATATGTATGTGAATAACGCTTTATAGATATTTTGAAGAAAGTTCGACATAGTCATGTTGTATCTTTGCATGATATTTATGAATCAGACGATGCTGTTTATATCATTACTGATCTCTGTACGGGAGGAGAATTGTTTCAACGCATTGTTGAAAGAGGCACATATACAGAATCAACTGCTGCTGATCTTGTTCGCCAATTACTTGAAGGTCTAGCTTACTTGCACTCGATGGATGTAAGTCGCTGTTTATGTCCTGCTCGATGTAACAAATTTACCTTAAACTTTAGATCGTGCATAGAGATATAAAGCCCGAAAATGTAAGTTTAAACTGGAACCTCAATCGGGAGTAGAACGGAGCTAATGTTCCTCCTTTAGTTGCTGTTCAAGACACCAGATGAAGACGCTGAATTATTAATTACTGATTTCGGTCTTTCCAAGTTACTAAAGAATCACGATCAAGTGCTGACAACTGCTTGCGGTACACCAGGTTATGTTGCACCTGAAGTTTTGTTAGGCACAGGACATGGAAAGCCAGTGGATCTTTGGAGTGTTGGTGTTATTATGGTAAGTAATATATACAAATATAGAATCAGGGAAGCTTATTATTCAATAGTATACTCTTCTCAGTGGTTATACACCATTCTATGGAGAAGATCAAAATGAGTTATTTAGTGCCATCATGAGTGGTCGTTATGAATTTGACGATGAGTATTGGTCTGAGATATCTGCTGAAGGTAAAAAATGCGCGTGGCCAGAAAGAACGGGTGTTAACTTAAAGTAGCCAAGAATTTAATTGATAGACTCTTAACATTTGATCCTAAGGATCGCATTACAGCAGAAGAAGCATTAGAGCACCCATGGATTATGAATAAAGAAGAGTATGGCTTCAATTTGGCACCCACTGTTCGTAAAGGTTTCAACAATCGTAGAACACTCCAATCTCTTATTACTGTGGTTGCAGCAATTAACAAGATGAGGATCCATCATCCCTTAGCAGACTTGGAAGTTGACGAAGATGAAGATGAAGCAGATAGAGAGAAATAAAGAAGATACCCCCTTCTTGAATGGATCTATACCGAAACTTTGTTTGTCTTATGTCTTGTTGTGCTTCTTATCTACTGTTCTTTGACCAACAATATATGTCTCCACATATGAAAGTAATTCAAAAAGATCCTAGTAGGCTCGTTTATAGGCAAATGCTAATTGATATATTGAGTGATTATGGTGTCATCTTTGACGGTCAAAGATCAAACGTGATTCCTGCAAAGAGTGTGATCTCGTTGTGTTTATACTTCATGACACTGTGAAAGCCAACGTTACAGACGGTCTATTGATAGCCATTTTAATATATTCAAAATAGCTAGCATTTTGATAAAATGTGCTGACCAGAGAAATAATAACTAGTATCTTTTCATTCATTCCTGTTGATCTTACGGTGGATAAATAAAGACGGAGTAAAGTCATCCGTGTTCATTGTTCTTCTATTGCATTCTTGTACACCAAGCGATAAAGCTTTTATTTTAATATCGTTCAAATGCCTTTTTCTCATCAGTAGCAGTGATATGATTATAATATAGGTGTAGATAATACAGATGGGTATTAACAGATGGCTGGACAGGGGCTAACTTGATTGTAAGAGGGGAATAGAGGAAACAGTGAATATTATTGGATTATAAAATGATGTAATACGCATATTAGAACAAAATCGATCAAAAAAATTTAAAGCCAAATAACATGACCAAGTGATAAAGAAGTGACCAAGTGTATTGCTTCAATGTTACCATGACTCTGGTTATGACACTTTTTATTACATTACTATGACAACTGTTGCTGTGAATATCACTTTTTACTATAGCTAATATACTTTTATCAATGAATATTCAAACTACATACTCTAGTCACTATTGCCTTGTGATACAGTTGAGAACAACAAAGAAAAAGTATAAGAAGAGAGAAAAGCAGAAAGAGAAGTGATGGAAAGTAATATAAAAAATAAGGTGAGAAAACAGCTATTCTTTTTCCTTGTCCTACATGATCTTTTTACTTGATTCCTTTTTTCTTTTTTCTCTCTTTTTTTCTCCTCTTATTGGAGATAAATCGATAAAATAACAATAAACTATTTAAATTCGACATCATCTTTTTTGTCTTTTTTTTCCCCTACACACGTACACGAAATGTATCAATATCCACCCAATTATAATAATAACAACAATAGATTGCCACTTACACCCAATAGCATTTCACCAACAAGAGAACCAAAAGATATAATGATGGAAGGCTCAACATCGTCATCAGAGTCATTAAATGATTATCCACAAGAAATTACCTGGTTATTCTTTCGAGATAATCAATGGGTGCCATTTCAATCAAACAATCATTATAAAATAGAACAAGCGTTTACTCTAGGAGGTATGAGCACACCCATATTACGTTTAATTTTCTAATCAATCTTGGTCGAGATAGGCATTTATGTAGATATAAAAGGTATTCATATCACTTTGACTCTTGAAATCAAGAGCTAAACACCCCCTTTTTTTTCTTTTCTAGATTTTAACTTTCCTCACCTAAAAAGTATACGTGTGTTTCCGACCAGAATGTATTTATCTTATCTTGGTATGAAGTATAGATTGAGCTGCGTTATTCAAGGTTAACAAGTGTATATTATCCCCTTAAAGAATAACTATTTTAATAAATACCTGCATAATTATTTCTTTTAAATCACATGAATTTTCATGAAACGAAAGACTAACTGGGTTTCTTCATTTTTAAAGGGATATTTGCCGCTCATTCTCATTTCATTACTATTATCGAGCACACTTGAAATATCATAAGCCTTACACTATAATGATCATAAAAACAATAAACAATTGATCTATTAAGCATCTTTCTGTACAAGAATTTTTTTCCTGCTATTGACTTTGAATGGAATATGGTTCAAGTGGATCATTTTGTCCTACTCACCAGTATGTCTATGCATAACGTTTCTCTTAGCATAGGTTTTTCTTTACCAAGCTTATACGTAAATACATGTAAAAAATAGTAGTGATCGCAGATATATAGATATTTCCATAAGAGAGCACATAGAGGACGCTCATTGAGAGACCCCCTATAGATTCGCTTTCAAATGAATCGTTCCAGTGATAAAGATTCTTGCCAGCAAGTCATCTTTACCTTGCCTTATTCTGCAAGGTACGGTGATACTGTTTGTGTTTGTCTATAAAAGGTGTTACTACTACTGCTTCTATGATCAAATATCTTGCTATTTTCTTCTTGAAAACGATATAAAGTTATTATGACACCAGCTGCAGTTATTAGTGTGCTCTCATACCATTTCTATTGATTTACAATGATGAAAGCAAAAATTAAGCTCTGTAAAGGCCTGTTTTAGTTGATATGACTTTTATATTCGTCTTTGTGTTTAAAAGTAATTTTTCTTTATATGATTTATCACAAGCTACAAGGTTTCTTACGTGTTTTGTTCCTTGCTAGTGATTTTATAATTTACACAAAGGTACCTGCTGTGCTTAAATTTGCTTTCTACTATAAGAAGTTGCTATCATGCATATTTATTTTGAAGATTTAAAGATTAAAAAGAGATTCAAGGCCGTGATCGAAAGCAATACAGTATGGTTAGATATTGATGCAGTAAAGGGAAAGATATTAAAGTACCAGCAAAGAATAGTGAATGAACCATAGTTAAGAAGCCTTATTGGATTATTGGAAGACAAGTCAGTAGAGTGCCCAAATGTTTGTGAGGATGAATGGAAATGTAGTTCAAATATACGGATGAATAGGTCTTATGAAGTTTTCACAATGGGTGAAAATGGTTTGCTTAAGGAAGTACAAAACATACCATATAAAGCTACACTAGAGGCAAATGAAAAAATTACTCAAAAAGAGGAATAAAATAGCCACGTTTTATTTGTTTGGTCTAAAAATGTCTCTTCTTTTCAAATACGTAATCTACTAGTTGGATGTTCCCTAAGCATCAGTGGCATCAGCATCAACAACAACAGCAGCAGAAAAAGCATGGGTTAGAACATCCAGCGTATTTAGTGCCTCCTCAACGAACCAGATCTCTTCAACACTCTTTTGCACAACAACCAAAAGAACCAATGCCAAATGCGACGGATGCCAAGCCAAATATTACGTTATCTATAACAGAGATTGCAGAATTTTCATCAACCATCGTCTATTTATTATGGCATGTTCGACGACAATCAGTAATGGATTTGCATTCTAGTTCAAGAACTGGAGTAATGTCTACTATAACCAACGCTAAGCAAATAAGAACTACGGCTGATATGGCCAACATGACAAGTACAGCATTCAAAAAATTTTGCAGACAGGTACCTTGGGCATAAATATATACTAGTATAATTATTTCATTGATGAATCCATTTATTAAAGATATTAAGTGCGACACAACTTTCAGAATCCGTAGTATTATTATCACTAAAGTATATCGCCATATTGCTGCACAACAGCCCTGGAATAAAGGGGGCAGATGGTTCAGAATACCGCTTATTTACTGTAGCACTGATGCTAGCAAATAAATATTTGGACGATAACACATTTACCAACAAAACATGGTCAGAAGTGTCAGGGATGAAAGTGACTGATTTAAATATTATGGAGCTAGAGTTTCTGGATGTCCTTCAGTTTAGACTTTCGATTAAAAAGGAAGAATATGAAAGGTGGAGGATAGCTTTGTTTGATTTTAGGAGTCAATTGCTTGGTATCTCCAAAAATGCACAAAAGCAGAGAATAATGGAAACAATCGCAATATCTACCTATCCATTACAGTGGCCACAGCAACAACAGAGACACTTTCTTCCTCATCCTACTTATTATCTAGAACAACAAAAAATATCCATGATATCACCTGTCATGCCTACTCCTGCCACTCGGGATTTCCATCTCTTTTCTAAATCCCAACAAAAGTACCCTCAATCAATTATCCATGGGCCACTTACTAGAGTACAACTGAAAATACCACCACATCCAGTTTACCAACGAGTGCCTGCTACATCTTCTGCGCCAGTGGTGTTTAATCCTTTTAATGTATATAATCCACGTTCCTCATCATTGTCCTCAGCCATCAAAGGCGAGCATAATGAAACGAATACTTTCTATACTAATAAGGGACGACCAGTAGCACCAAATATGTCTCAATCAACCTACATATCATACCCACAAAGATCATGCACTCTGCCTTCATCGAAGCCTGTTTATCTCAATAGCCGTACATCTTCATTACCTAAAACTGATGAGCATGTCGTTGATAGTAATGATAATAATGATAATAATGACAGTAATAGCAGTAGCAGCAATACCACTTTAATATACATATAAATCTTAATCCCCTCCCCTTCATATCTTCTTTGATTATATGATATTATCATTTATTTAAAAAACCAGTAATAGAAGAACATGACCATACATACAATAAATAATGTTAAACAGCACCACATTGTCCCTGATTCCTTTGAGGCCATGATTTTAAAATTATTCATGGTTTTACCCAAAATAGATCCAGTATTTGAAAATTGATTATTCTATTCAACAGGATATAAGCTTCATTCCTTCTCTTTCTTTCTCTATAATTACCATGCTATCTATCAAACCATTCCCGTATTTGATTTCCTCTCCTATTTTTCCTGTGATCTATTCTATAATGAGTTTCACATTGAATACAACACCATTCCCTCCTTACGTTCTTCAATATTTTCACTTTAGCAGATAAGCCAGATATGTCCTCATCATTTTGACTTTCTAAATAATCCAATTCGTGATCGTTCATCTTTACTTTGACCGAGTCGAATTCTCTTGATGGTGATGGTGTACTACGGTCATATTTCGCATCACCTAATAAAGCAGTTCTATTATGAAGATTTTGATAGCTTCTATATAAAGAGTAGCAAAGAATAAGAAATAAAGATTATGAGCTCATCTCTCATCTTTTCGGCACCTTACACTTCTACTTCCAAACTGTCGAGACATTAAAAGAAAAAAGGCAAACCATTGGTTGTTACATACCTGAGTTTTATTTATTTATTTTGAAAAGCGCACAATAGTGTGTCCCGTTTGGTTATGAATGCTCATCTTACAGCAGTGCTTATGCTTCCCTTGTTTTCAAACGCGTGTGATCATTTATTCCTTATTCGTGTGCTCGTGTTAGGAGAGAATAGATGATATCCCATATATAAATGGCTTTTTTTGATATCCGACATCAATACAAATAGTGACCCTTCTCTTCTCAGTTTACAGCCCATATGCATTGGCTGAACAAATTTGCAAAAATGACTGGAGTTTCATAAAAGTAAACTAGACAACATTTTGAACATAAATATACTTTATTCCTTATCAGCACACGCATTCTTCTCCATCGACCATACTTTAACCCAATCAACAGCCAGTGCACGCTTATTACCTTTACCCCATGTTGGTAGCCACTTTTGCCTTGAGTCATAAAACTTATTAGGAGCATGAGGATCATCATTCTTCCAGGGCTTTGAAGGGTGATCCGGCCAGAATCCATTGACACCACCGACAGCCAAATTAATTATCTGCATGAGGCGATAAATAATCTGACAAAAAAGTGATTTTTATGTTATTTTACCAAATAAAACTCTTGATCAAAAGGTGCAGATATATCACCTCCTTTCCATGGATTCATTGTAGTCTTTTCATCAAATTCTCCTCTTTCCCATGCTGTTTTATCAAAATCAACTTCTAGTACAGTCTGTTTGTCAACGTAGGTTCTTAAACCTTCCTTTGTCCATTCGAGTCCTAAATTTTCAAGAAAATTAGACCACTTGTCTAGATCTCATTCATATAAACCTGCCAAAAGTATGAAAATTATCAGCAAAGGTGCCATTGGCTGAATGCACTTCAGCTTGTGTCAAGGAGTACTTGTTCAAATAAGGATTTGGCCCCCAATGCAGAGTGGATAACACGGCTGATACGTTTCCATAAGGGTATCTTACATTTCCTCTAGATTCCATCTGATAAAGACTATTTAACAAATCACGCGTGTTCACTTTTCTAGCTCCTTACAATATCTATTTCGCCTATAGAATAGATCAATAAGATAAGCATTTTTCAAATAAGATATATGCTTTTTCTTACCACTTGCTGGCCAGCTACCATAGGCAGAATACTTTGGCAACATCCAAACGGCTGGCCTATGTAATAAAGTTTTTATAAGGATATACGTAGGCATTTATATTATGTATTACCATAGCCAGTCTCCAACAGGAAGTCGGGCCCTCACTTCGACTTTTCCATAGCGAAGAGACATTGAATTGATTGTTCTTAGTCTAGCTGATTGAACTGGGTTAATGTAGACTCCACCTGCGGGAGCACCCGATAGTCTTTCGCATCCTTCATGTAATATATAGTTAATTGTACTGTCTTTGTGTGTTTATTTGCTTTACCAAAGTTTGAATTATCTATATAAAGATGTAATCAGAGAGTAGTTACAGTATATAAAAAGAGCTATTACCTGTGCAATCTTCAGATGGTGATCCAGAGTACAAGGCTATCTTTCCACCTTCTTTTAGGGCGTCTTCACCAAGGAAATCAGAGGTCAATGTTGGCTTGATATACAATATACCATCCTCTACAAAGCTATTTGATCTATTATTGGCATAATACTGAAATTCCCAATTACCGCCTGGTATGTTGTAAGTGATTGTTTTGTATGCTTTATGATCAGAGCTTACCTCCACTGAGAGTAATCTCGTGCTATCAAAAAGTTAGTTTGATGACGTCTAAATACAGTGAAATACTGACCTGCCAATTCTTAAAGTTGAAGGTATCAAAGTGATCTTCGAATACGACACAATAGTTTGATTCGATAGCATTCTTTTGAGTAGTTAAAGTTCTATTGCTTGATGCAGCATGGATTGGTGTCCTAAGTTGAACATTGGGTTTCTTTATCAGGTGAGCAGCCTTGTTTAATTCAAAGCCAAATACACTGGCAGATGTCAAAAACACGATATGAGCTAAGGTTATCTTCATGTTTAAGAGTGGAAAAAAAAAAGAAGAAATAAAATGCGTATTCTTGTTTTATCCAAGTGCTTCCGGGAATGCATAAATCAAGGCACGTTTCACAAAGCATATAGATCTACACGCATTTGCCCTTTTTCCTTTTTCTGGATTGGTTCTCCGACTGACAACATTACAAAAAGTTTTCTTTTTTTTTTTTACCTTTTTTTTTTCTCTTGTTTAGCATAAATTAAATGACGCATAAAAGACGTGGCAAGAGACCTTTATCAAAAAGAAACAGCTCGAGTCAAAATAAAGATCAGTTTATGGACCTTGCTCAAGCAGCATTAGAGGAAGCTGATCAAGAAGAAGAAAAGAGAGGAGTGATTGGTGAAGTAGTAGAGGCACTCATTGTCAATACAGGCGCACCACTTGTAGCAGAAGTCATTTCAGAGCAACTAAGAAGTCAAGATATTATAGAAAGAGCAGCAGAGATGCACGAGGAAAGAAAGAGACTGAGCCCAAGCCCGAGTCTAACAGAGATCGAATCCTTGAAGGAGCCTATAAGTGATGAAGAAAAAGAAGATACAGTAAAGAAACGAGATACTATAGATCGACCCATGATGATTACAGAATACTCTTGGCGTTTATTTAGATTACTCTTGTTAGCAAGCATTGTTGGATTAACATGCCATTTTATCAATATTCATAGATACCCTTTCTTTATGTAACAAAGAAGCATTTATTTATTTAGTAATAAACTTTTGACAATATATAAAAGATGAATGGTATATGTAGCATGCTTATTCTTTCCTCTTTAGGGCTTTTCAGGGACAAATGCATCTGGTTTTGCGTTACTGCTTTCTGATAATGTTGTCATGCTCTCATCTCTTTCCCTTGGCTTTATCAGCTCCTCTTCCTTTTCTCTTTTCTTTGCCTCTTGCTCTTCCTTCATCTTTTCTGCTAATTCAGGATATTTCTTCAAGAAATCTCTTTCTCTTCTAAACAGCAATATGTGTGGTTCAGGAGCTTAAAATGAATTAATACATATGTATTGTACATTCTCTATACTCTCATTACCATGCACCATATAATGTTGCCAACCTACAGATTGGCTTACACCCAATGCTCTACATTCTTCTTCTGTCATCAATCCATGATGTGGTAACCATCTAGCAATTTCTAATGGTAGGATAACGTGTCTATAATATAAATTAGATTGAATATATATATATCACTTATATCTCTCTTTACCTATATTCATAAATATCATCTATAGCATATATAAAGATCAATAAATAAAATAGAAAAAGTTTATAAAGACCTACCAAAATATCTTGAAGAATAGGTAATCTTATCTTCATAGTCCAATACGTCCTTTTGTTTTTGTACCCTTTCCATTTCAAGCTGCTCTGATGATTTTTCATGATCAGGCACAGGTGGTGGTGGACGATTGGATCTTTTTTGTCTTCTAAAGAATACTCTCTTTGTACCCTTTTCTACCATTCGTTTCTGATAGCTTGCAAGTTCTTGAACCGTCTTTTGTGCAAGACCATTATATACTTTTTGTTTAGGTTGATCTCTTCCATTAGGTTGACTCATGTTATTGTTCGGTTGATTTGATATTTCTCTTTTCTTGATTACTTTGTCATCCTGATCATGTAATTTTACTGTTGATGTATCTTTGTCCATTTTATAAAAAAAAAAAGAGGAACAAAAAAGCCAATTGAGCTGTCACACGCATAAACAAGTACCATATAAAAAAATATAAGCATCTGGCGTCAGTCTATTTTTAATAGTGTCAAGTGATGAACTATCATATTCCCCGGATTGAGGTCAACTTGCTTATTGATTTAATACAATGTACAAAATCAAAAAGAAGGCAAGTCTTACATCATGAATATCAGTTTATGTTTAATATGTAAGACTGTATCATACATTGATCCTCTTTTTTATATGTGTCTAGGCATAATAACAAATCGCCGAGATTATTAAAAGAGATGTATGTGTCTATCTTGCTTGACACAAACAGTTTAACAATTAAATAGAATAAAAACATATATGCGTCAAGATTATAATTTATTAATGTTCGGTTGGATCATCGGTACATCAGTCGGTTACAGTAACCACACTTCTTTTTTTATTTATTTACTACTTCTTTTTATCTATAAATGATCGTTTTTTGTCGACATATTGAATAAACAATTGTCTTTTTTTTTTATAAATATATATTATGAATGATAAGCAAGAGGAATTAAAAACCACTTTATTAAACCCTGTGGCGTCTTCTTCAAAGATTAAAAGACATGTACCACCCCTTTTATCACTTCCAGAGTGTTTAGCCTACACTTGCCCTGAACAGAGTAATTCCGATCTTTCATCATCGACAGCAGCAGGAACAACAGATCAAGACAAACAATCTTTTCTTATCACACGTCTTCCAAAGGCCATGATTCATCAATGGAAGCAAATCTCTTCTTTTCGTCAGCATTCAGTCAAAAGTCGATTATCAAGCAATGACATAAAGGATCAAAAGAGATTATACAGCTATTACCATGATCCGAATATCTCCCCTTGTTCGACAGCAGTGGCAGACGAAGAGAAGGGATATTTTCATATTCATGCAGCACAAAAGATAAAAAAGACGCCCCGTGGACGAATAGCAGCATTAGTGATGATCTTGTTTGGTTTTCTTATTGTTATTGTGTTTATTATTATGGGATTAGGCAAAGCGACAGAATCAAATGAAGACTCAATAGATAGCATGCAAAATAGTACCGTCAGTGCTTCTTTTGTCGATGCCAACAAACTCATGATGATGCCTACAACTCATCTACCAAGTCAGACCAACAGTCAAACTGAACTCATGCCAACACCGATCCATGATACAGTGACGAGATTTATTCTTATTGAGGATGCATCTGTACTAAACCAAATTATCACTCAAGCAGGAGTCACACCAAGTTATTTACCAATACCGAGCTAGTGTCTGTTTCTTTTACTTCATCGTTGGACATATGCGTGTATATTTAATAAAAACAAAAGGAGATAATTTTTCTACCTTCTTTAAAGTTTATAGAATTCATAAAATGAAACGGAATACTTATCGGTTATGAAATAAATGACGTATATATTAAAATATACAAGACCATATCACGATACATTGCTTACTATACATGGTCTATTAGAGAAAGAGAGAAAAAAAAAAAGAGCTGTGACTTTACTAATAATAATATCCCCCCAAGCGTGTGTGTCGTCTCTTTTTTTTAAACTTTTTTTTATTCTCTTTTGTGTCAATATAAATCAATGCTTGCATCAGAGGATAAAACTTATGAAGTAGATCCTATATTTGAACAAGAGTTTGAACGTGTTAAAGCCAGTGCCAAAGAATATGGAGCAAAGAATAATGAATTCCGTGCAAGCATTACTCGTTCAGTATTAGACACCTATAGAGGGCGTCGTTCTGTCTCAAGCTTTGTTCGTTTTGCAACTGCCATGATGAAGGATGAAGACGGCTACTTTAAGCAATACGAATTAAACACTCTGACCATGTTTGTCAATACTTTGAAATCAATGGACATTCAACTGGAAATCATTCGTGAACGCAATTCAACTGATCCACAGGACACGGAAGAAATACGAACACGTACAGAAATACTTACAGGAATGATTAACGGTCTGGTGGTAAATTTTAACATTGTTATTTCTTTGCACCTTATTTAATAGTCTATTAGGAATCTCAAGCACTTACTACCAATGACTGTAAAGTTCACTTTTCAAGTCAATTGCTCAAGGACTGTAACATAATTCCAAACAAGGTCTTATTCGATCGTCGTCTCATTCGTCTCAACACTGCTATGTTGTATGTCTCTTTTTTTATATAAATTTGTTTTTACTCACCTTTTCATTCTTAGATACAAGCAACACAAGTTTAACTTGCTTAGAGAAGACAGTGAAGGTTATGCAAGTCTTATTAACGAACTAACTATTTCCAGCATCGACAATCAACGGGATACAAAAGGAAAGTTGACACCTACATCCTTGTCAAAAGTACCCGAGTTCTTAAAGACCATTTCTTCTCACATTGGCGTGTTTCATCTTGATCCTAATCGTGTCCTTGACATCATTTTGGATTTTTATATAAAGCAATTGACAGTCAATTACACTTTTTGGACAGAGGTCATCAAGCAATCAGCTTGGATTCAAAAACTCACCTTTATTGATGTGAATGGTGAAGTGTCTACTGGACCAAGCGCTATTTTGGCACAGTTGATCGGATTTAGATTCTATAACTTTCATGTAAGTTTATGATGTGATGTTTATACAGTAAATACTCATTTCGTCTAATAGGTTGAAGAATCAACGCCTGTTCCAAAGGAACTCTACCTTACTATTGCTATTATGTTAAAGAATGGATTGATTTCACTTGGTGATATTATTCCTCATGTAAGAAAAATATACAAAAAGGAGAGTACTTTATCTAATAGCTCGTAGTTATCTCCTTTTGAAGAAGAAATGAAAGCAGCCAGGGACGAATATAATGTCAAGATGAACAAAGAAATCACAACCAATTCTGGTGGCAAGCTAGCCGTAAGTTTAAAAGACACACATACGCAATGGCAACATGTACCAACCTTGATATTTGCAGATGTACGGCGCTTTAGGAGAAGATGGCAATACACAAAAAGTAAAACGTGCAGCAGAAGATAATGGAGAAAATGATGTAGAAGCCAAAAAGAAGAATACCTCCAACGATGTTGTTGAGCTCACAAAGGCATTGTTCTCTGTTGGCGATTTAAAGAATGCAGAAGTGATGCTTTCAGTGTATGATAAGTTGATCGACATGCATCCTCAGCTTGCATATGACATCTACCGCATCTGTCGTGTTGTTCTTCAGCCTGCTTATGAAGCATTTGTTCCTGAGAACATAAAGCAGCTGTATACACGCTTTAGCCAATGTGCTGAACAATCTCAACTTAAATCAGCGTTTACAACACATGAAGATTATAATCCCAAAATACCTTCACAAATCAAATTGAAACGTGTCTTGGTGATTGATGCTCTGCTTGATGACACTCAGGATCTGAGAAAGATGGAGCGATATTCGTTTTTCTACAAGGAATGGAAGGATTCTTTAGAACTATGTGAATCCTATGAACACTTGACAACACGGTTTATGCCTCTTATGCGTTTGGCTGGCTACAGAACATATTTGGCTACAGACCTTATTCAGACATTAATATTGATCATTGGCGGATTGCTTGATAGAGAAAGAGACTACCCTGGATGCAGACTTCATCTTACCAACATGATTCGTGAATTCTTATTGCCGGCTATCTCCTTCAGCAAAGGTAACCCAGGCACCATGGCCAGTGTTTGGGAAGTTCTGTGCCGTCTGTCATTCCAGGAGAGATACTGCCTTTATGGAGAATGGAGTAACGAATTTTACAAAAAGAATATTGAGACAAAGCTGCTTAAAGCACGTGTAGAACGCGCAGCTAAATCAATGATGCGTCGAGTGTCAAAGAACGACGTGCGTCGATGTGGACGTGATCTTGGTAAATTAGCGCATTCAAACCCAACGATCGTGTTCAATGTTGTTCTCGATCAAGTTCAGTCCTTTGATAATTTGGCACCTATCATGGCAGACGCCTGCCGTTACCTTGGTGACTTTGCATATGACGTACTTGGCTTTATCCTCACTGACAAATGGACTGGTTCTCAAGGCGCTGGTAGAACGAAAAAGGAAAAGGAAAAAGATGACGGTATGCCAGCAAGCTGGTTACGTTCACTCGCTGTATTTACTGGCATGTTGTTCAAGAAACAAGATATTGATTCGACTCCCTTTTTACGGTACATGGCTTATCGCTTACGTTATGATGATTCAGTAGCCGATTTGATTCTCTTGAACGAGTTCATAACCAAGATGGGAGGTATTGAAATATTAGCTAGTGCTTGTACAAATGATCAGATTACTGCTGCTGGTTGCTCAGACTCGCTAAAATCTGAAGCATTCTTGCCTATCTCTCCTGATAATCGACGTGCATCTCGCCGTGTGTTGGGTCGTCTAAAAGATTCTCTCCGTCGAAACAATGTTGGGTTGGAAATCTTGGTGCTTCTGTACCGTTTGGAAGAAGCCTGCATGCACGAGCAAGCCGTTCCTGCAAGCGATCGATGTTCTAAGTTGGATAAAGTACATCAAACACAGCTGCAATACCTTGATTTGTTAACGACATTGTTTGAGCCTGACGAATATGCTACTTTAGTTCCAAGTGTAGAAACTTTAGTGAATGAATATGCGCTCCCCGTGCACATAGCCATGACAACTAACCGTACCAAGACACAGCATGCCATTCGACAAAATATGGACACTCCTGTTGTTGAAGGAGAAGTGTGGGCACCATTTAAGCAAGTGATCGATGTCTTACCCTCATTGCTCCAGATTCCTGCTATACCATCCATTTTTACCGCAGAATTCTACTTTATGTTCTGGCAACTCAGTCTATACGACATCTACTGTCCCATTAACCATTACGAAGCCGCTATCAAACGACACACCGATATGATTCGTCAATGTCAAGATGTACGGTCATCTTTTTACCAGAACAACAGACCTTCTGTAGTCAGTAAAGCTGAAAGACAGGCACAGGCATCTTTAGATATGCTTAATGAAGATCTTCCAAGACATCAATCACATGTAGAAAAAGTAATGACGATCCTAAAAGATTCACAGAAACGATGGTTTCCAAGCTCGATGCAACGACAGGCACTGATATCTAATATTCTTCAGCACTGTATATTGCCACGTAGCAAGATGTCTGAAGTGGATGCGGCCTTTTGTTATGAATTTGTTATGCTTATGCATAGAATCAACACAGTCAACTTCTCCAGCCTGACCTTATTTGATAAGGTTATCTCGGATAGTTTGTCAGCTAACTTTATTGCCTTTTCTGAATATGAAACCACCATCCACTCAAGATTCATCTTTAAGACTCTATCCAAGATGGGTAAATGGCACAAGGACGAAAAGCTGTACCTGAAGGATGCCCATGGTGACGGGCTCATTGGATTCCAAAAGAACTGGAATGTGGATGCTTCTCAAGGAGTAGCAAAAGAAGATTTGCTGAGCTTTACTGAATTCCAGCGCGTACTCTACAGATGGCATTTTAGATCATGTATGGCAATTGAACAAGCACTTAAATCTGGTGAAGCTCATTTGATAAAGAATGCCTTTTTGGTGCTACGTCAATTTGCCCCTTGCTTCCCTGGTGTTGTTGATCATGGAAACAGCATTTTGAAGATTGTTAAAAGGCTATCTGAAGAAGAGAAGCGACCTAATATCAAGGTGCTGGCACGTAGCTATATCGGTCTGGTTACCAAGTACAAGAGCTCATGGACTACGAAGAATGCATTCTTAGGACTCAAGGAGCCTAGTCCTCCAGCACAGCCATCTACACCGGCAGACACAAAGACAACCAAGACAGATTCAAGAACATCAACACAAACGGAAAATGAAAAAGAAGAGAAGCGACGTGAGGCAACTGAATCAAGCACCAGAGTATCTTCTGCATCTAGACCTTCTAGTCCCTCTCGACGAACTGAAAATGGCAAGGCATCGGATGAAACTGCAAATTCATCTTCAGAAAGGAAGCGATCTCGAGAATCAGAGCACACTCCTCGCGATAGTGAAAAGATGTCGAGAATAGATGAGTCTGGAGGACGTCATCGAACGGCTTCAGGATCTGCAAGGGATTCTCCAAGGGATGTAAAGGATGATAGATCAAGTAGAACTCCTAGAGTATCTGCGCCATCTGCAACTGATGAAGCTAGCTCTAGTAGACATTATGATGATAGAAACAGTAATCGCGCCAATGAGAGCAATAGCCGACACCCAGACGAACGCCCTTCGAGTCGATTAAATGAATCTCTTTCAAGCAGCCGGTACAACGATGACCGCACAAGCAGTGGAAGAATCAACACACCTTCATCTTTGAACGATCCTCGGTCGTCTTCAGCTAGAGGCTCCAAGAGAGTGTTGGAAGACAGAGAGCGTGATAGAGGTGAACGTCCGGATAAGCGAAGGTAAGGGCAATTAAAACAATGGCTTGATGTTGTCTGATGAAATTAATTAATAGTACACTTAGGGACATGAGAGATGACCGTGGTCGTGATGATAGACGCGATGACAGATTACGAGATACCCGAAGAGCAGACGATAGAAGGCCAGATGAAAGAAGATTAGATGATAGAAGGCCAGATGACAGAAGAGCAGATGACAGAAGAATTGACGACAGACGAATGGATGATAGACGTATGGACGATAGGCGTATGGATGACAGAAGATTCGATGAGCGCAGACTACATGATAGACGCGAAAGAGAAAGAGATCATCGTAGCAGTAGAAGACGTTAAATGTGTTTTAGTTTTTTTAAAAAATCAACTATTGTAAATAAACGTTTGTTGCATGATATGATTGGATAAGAATCTTATTGATCCTATTGGTCAACGTCAAAACTGCGGTGACGCAACTTTTTTTCTTTTTGGGGGGAAGAACACACTTTGAACCTTTTTCTTTTTTGGATCTACAACAGCAATGTCTAGTGAAGTAGAGACAATAGTGCACACAAACAAAACAGATGAAGTAGATTCCCTTAGATTTACGACACGTGCAGGAGGTGCCTACATTCCTCCTCATCGCATGCGTCAAATGCAACAATCAATAAAAGATACTAGCAGTGAAGCTTATCAACGCATTACCTGGGAAGCTTTGAAGAAGTCGATCAATGGCCTGATCAATAAAGTGAATACATCCAACATAAAGATGATTATACCAGAACTCTTTGCTGAAAACCTTGTTCGTGGACGAGGATTGTACTGCAGAAGTATAATGAAAGCACAAACAGCAAGTTTACCATTCACACCTGTCTATGCTGCAGTAACAGCAGTTGTAAATACGAAATTACCAGCTGTAGGAGCATTGCTCTTGTCTCGCTTAGTTGTTCAATTTAGAAGAGCATTCAGACGTAATGACAAGGTAACATATTACATTTAATTGTTGCACGCATCTGCTAATCTCTTTTTTGTATAGACTTCTTGTTTGGCAACAACCACTTTTATTGCTCACTTGACAAATCAGTTGGTTGCTCATGAAATCTTGGCACTTCAGATCCTGGCACTTTTGCTCGAACGACCTACAGATGATTCAGTAGAGATTGCAGTCGGCTTTATGAGAGAAGTGGGTGCACATTTAGCCAACGTGTCTCCCAAGGCCAACAATGCCATTTATGAAAGATTCAGAGCTGTTTTACACGAAGGCGAAATAGATAAACGTATTCAATACATGATTGAAGTGTTATTCCAAGTTCGAAAGGATAAATACAAAGACAACCCACCAATCATTAAAGAGCTTGATTTAGTGGAAGAAGAGGATCAGATTACCCATAATATCAGTTTAGATGATGAAGATCTTGACCCTGAAGATATGTTGAATATATTCAAATTTGATCCTGATTATACTGAAAACGAAGAAAAATACAGTGCGATCAAGGCTGAAATTTTGGGTGATGACGAGTCTGAAGATGAAAGTGGAACATCTGGAAGTGATGAAAGTGAAGAAGAGTCAGAAGAAGACGAAGAGACAATGGAAATTGTAGATAAAACAAACGCAGATTTGATTGAATTACGTCGAAAGATATATTTAACAGTAATGTCCAGTGTCAATTTTGAAGAAGCTTGCCACAAGTTGATGAAGCTACATGTGCCAGAAGGACATGAGGTAAGTCAAAGATATATATGTTATCATATTTTATATTGACTTTATCTTTCAAGATTGAGCTTTGTAACATGATAATTGAATGTTGCTCTCAAGAGCGTACATATCTTAAATACTATGGTTTAATGGCAGAACGCTTCTGTAAGCTCAACCGTATTTGGGTAGACAACTTTGTTCAATGCTTTGAAGAAGTGTATAATACAATTCACCGTTACGAAACAAACAGACTTCGCAACATTGCTAAACTCTTTGCACACTTATTCAACACGGATGCACTACCATGGACAGCATTCCAGATTATTAAACTAAATGAAGAAGACACTACATCTGCTTCTCGTATTTTTGTAAAGATTCTCTTTCAAGAAATTAACGAGTTTATTGGGCTTAAAGTTCTCAAGGAACGTATGCTTGATCCCTTCATGCAAGAGCCATTTTCTGGCATGTTCCCCAAGGATAATCCGAAGAACACTCGTTTTGCTATCAATTACTGGACAAGTATTGGTCTTGGTGCATTGACTGAAGATTTGCGCGAATGGTTGAGAAATGCACCCAAGCAGATCATGAAGCGAAGAGACAGCAGTGACAGTAGCTCAGGAAGCGATAGCAGTGACAGCAGTGACAGCAGTAGCAGTGGTAGCGATAGTGATGATAGTGGCTCCAGCAGTGATAGTAGCAGTGACAGTGAAAGTGATAGCGACAGCTACTCTAGTTCTCATTCTCGCTCTCGCTCTCGTTCTCGTTCTCGTTCTCGTACTCCTCCTCGTACCCGATATCGCTCTCGCTCTCGTTCTCGTTCCCGTTCTCGTACTCCTCCTCGTACCCGATATCGCTCTCGCTCTCGTACGCCTTCTCGATCCCGTACACCTTCACGTTCGCGTCCTCGCTATCGTTCGCGTACACCTCGTTCCGCTTACCGCTCTCGTTCTCGTTCTCGCACGCCCCCTCGACGACACTATCGTTCTCGCTCTCGTACGCCCCCTCGATCTCGTTATCGTTCGCGCTCTTCTTCATTTTCCCGTTCCCGATCTAGCTCAAGACGTCCTTCTAAAAGATCAAGACGCTAAAATAAAACTCACAGCCTGTGTTTTTTTTTTTTTTTAAAAAAAAAAAAAACGTTTATCCATCCTTTGTTTACATGTATCATAGTCTTTTTCATTTGTTTGTATTCTATACATTAAAAAAACCGAATAATAAATACATTGCTTTAGCATACACTGTGAGGCTCCCTTATAATAAACAAGCAGTACTCAGCTGAAATACATCCATTGTCAGTAATGATTGCAACAATAGTAATAGTAGCAAATCAAAAGAATAAAATTACGCAGCGAAAAGACAAATCACAATAAATGTTATCCTGATGCAAAAAAATTTCTAAAGACAGATGCCTTTATTAAGTTTTTTATCCAAATAAGCTCCTTAGATGAGAGTTTCATAAGGAATAGGAGCGATGGTTTGAGGGACATTCTTCTTGGTGGAGACATGACGAGCTTCACGAGGTTGAGCAGGGATTCTCTTGAGGTTGAATGTAACTAGGAAAAACAAATCAATAAATTATATACAATATACAAACACAATAACACTTACCACCAGCAGCCTTGGCTTCCTTCTTCTTTTGAGCATTAAGCTTAACACGGTCCAAGAATTCTTGACGGCACTTGGAGTGCTTGATGTGTTCAACACGAACATTGACACGCTTTTCCATGTAACGGCTACCGACAACCTTGTAAACGATGACACCGACGGAAGACTTGGTAACGTTGTAGATGACACCAGTACGACTAGAGTTGAATAATTTTGTTTAATTGTCTATTGTTTTTCCATATATCTCCAACTGTTATTGCTATTTACCCGTGGTAGAACTTGTGAGGCATACCCTTTTGAACAGCAGCATTGGCCTTAATGTCAACAATGTCACCAACCTTGTAGGTCTTCAAGTAGGTGGAAAGAGGAATGGTACCATGTTCTCTGAAGTTACGAGAGAACATGTGACGAGTACGAGCACGAACTAGGAATCAAGTTTATATATTGTTTTTATCTATTTTAGTTGTTCAAATACTTACGACCGAATGAGTGAGGCATCTTGTACGAAGTGGTATGAAAAGAGACCGAAACAAATAATTGGAAGGAAAAAAATTGTTAATAAACTATTGAGAATAAAAAAAATTGCTGTGGCTTAGCTTGCTTTGTTTGGAGAATACAGTGGCTTATGCTCATGTCAACCGCAAAAAAATTTTCGAGCCCGCGCCTGGTTAAAAGTTGCAGACTAGAGGGAATATTGTATGTTTTCCTTCTCTTTAATTTTGGTTTCCAAGAATGGCCGGTACCGTCAGAAACTGTCGCAAGACCTCCACTGTCCCCAAGCGTCCCTTCGAGTCTGCTCGTCTTGACCAAGAACTCAAGTTGATTGGTGAATATGGTCTCAAGAACAAGAGAGAAATCTGGAGAGTTGGTTACACTCTTTCCAAGATTCGTCGTGCTGCTCGTGAACTTTTAAAGTTGGATGAAAAGGACCCTCGTCGTCTCTTTGAAGGTAACGCCTTGATCCGTCGTCTTCTCCGTATTGGTGTCCTCGACGAAAGCCGTATGAAGCTCGATTATGTTCTTGCCCTCAAGATTGAAGATTTCTTGGAACGTCGTCTCCAAACCCAAGTCTTCAAGTTGGGTCTTGCCAAGTCTATTCACCACGCCCGTGTCTTGATCCGTCAACGCCACATCCGTGTTGGTAAGCAAATCGTCAATGTTCCCTCTTTCATCGTCCGTTTGGATTCCCAAAAGCACATCGACTTTGCCTTGACTTCTCCTTATGGTGGTGGTCGTGCCGGTCGTGTCAAGAGAAAGAGAGCCAATGCTGGTAGCGGTGAAGCTGCTGAAGAAGAAGATGAAGAGTAAACTCTGTCCTTATCGGTGGTCTACAACCTCATATGAACCTTTGCAATAAATTTAAATGATGTTTGTAAAAAAATCACTCTGTGGTTTTTCGAAGACATCTTAATTGCAAAGCACCTGTCGCTATTGTGTTGTCAAATTCGGGAGTATTTGATAGCAGGATAGCACAGTATCATATAAAAGCCCCTTCTATACTCCTCTCTCGTCTCTATGCACTGTATTTCTCTGTCGACACTTGACCCTACATTGCACTTTTTTAATGAGAACACGCAAAAGGGAAATCCAAGTGTAAATGTCATTTTAGACCCTAATACTAAATGAAGTGGTCATGTGTAAGTTTGTTTTATATTGGATATTGTTGTCAGCATAGATGAGAAAGATTGGGGCTTTTAATGTTTATGCTTTGTATATTAAGATTTTTTTTATTATTAGCTTAAGATTAATAACTATAGTCACACATTAAGAAGTAATTAGAGAGCAAAAAATTGATCATTGTTCTTTTCAAGTCCACGGGTTTTGATATAAACTTGCAAGTCATAGAAGAAATCACCCCATTCTCTCCAGAGAGATGCCTTTCCGAATATCACAAAGAGCCAAATACCAATCGTACTCACAAGAGTTTCTGCTGCTACCATGAGCGCAAAAGGAGGCAGTTTGTCTTTGATAATGTACGTACAATTGTCTTGGCCACCATCAGGAGATATCATACATTCTATCCAGCTCAGCTTGATAGTGTCATCATTCTTGAGATTAACCATTTTGTGGATTTGTGTAAAGTAAAATATCTATAGGATGACTTGTGTTATTAGTTTTGTCCATTTGAATATAAACATTAGTATTACCCAGTAAAAGACGACGGTTCCACTAGACAAAATAGCCAGCAATATAGCACGCCATTGAATCTGCACTGCAGTAATAACATGTTTATGCTTTCTAGAAGTAATAGGCAGGTTTGTGGTGCCTTGAGATGCAGACTGAGATATGTCTGATTGGATGCCTTCTCGAAATGCCATTCGAGCAATATAAATAAACGTAGCTATGTGAACCAAGAATGCTGGACAGACGATAGCAGCCATAGGATAAAAGAATAACTCGAAAATCTTGTCTACAGATACTAAGCAAAGGTTGGCAAATTCAAATTTGACCTTGTGAAGACCAAGAGTGAGTGACATAAAGACAATAGGATATCCCCAGCAAAAGGTGTTCAAAATATAGTATCTGTTGGTAAAGAAGTTCACTTTCCAAACAGTGTGCAAGTGAAGATTCAGAATGAGAGCAGCGCTCCAACAGCAGGTTGCCAATGAAGAGAAGATAAGAATAGCGCCTATTAAAAGTCATTTAAGCAAGAGGATAATAGGAATAGTAATAAAAAAAGGTATTTACCTTGTACAGCACATAAAGGATTATTGTCTTGTGAGCTGACAGAAGCAGGGTTGGCACATTGAATTCGTTTAGGATCATTTACTGAGAAGAAAGAGACCATGCTGAACAGAAAGATGGATATAGAAAAGTTCAAAATGAGCAAAGAAGGGTGTCTTCTCTTATCAGGCAAGACCAAGTAACTGACTGTCAGGATGAGTGACAATACGGCGGATATGCATCTGACAATGTCGGTTGCTAAGAACGCACGTATAGTCCAGTCGGTAGGATAGAACTAATAAACAATAAATCAATATTACATGTCAAATTATAGAACCGCAATATACTTTACAAAATTTTGTTGCGGACACGGAAGGCAACAGCCTGCTTTACAGAATGCAGTGTTTGTTGCGCTTCCTGGCTGTTCATAACCAGCATCCTTTACAAAAGGAGCGGGGCATTGGGCAACAACAAAGTTGTCTGGAATATATGATAGGTTATAGTGGGCGTTTGTATTTGAAAGCTTAGATGCTATAGCGTTACATTTGCTGCTGGAAGACAGAGGCTGTTGTGTGATGGGTGATGTTTTCTTGCAGTCTGGCAGTGCGTTAAGCCCAGTAAGCATAAAGATATTTTTACATTGATGGTAAACTTCTTCGCAAGAGGATATGCATCCCATTGTGGGTTCTAGACAAAAATTTGTTTAAAATGTTTGTTATAATAGATCATTTTGAATAATTACCATTGTTATCACATCTAGGATAAGCAAAGGAACAAGAATATCTGTAATAAGCGTCTACACAAGTGGGTGCAATGTCTTTAAAGCCTTCGCTTATATTCTTTAATAGTGCTATTTGTTGTTCAATTAATGGTATTGGCAGTCCTTTTGTGTATACGCTATAGTTTATATATGCCTGCGGAAGGCGATGTTAATATATTGTTATACTGAATAAAAGGTTGCTTCTCTTACACTGCATATTCCATTTGTTGGATAATTTGTACATGAGCCTATTATAAAAATGTGTGAGTATATTTTTAACTATATTTCGTTAAAATACGCCGTACTTGGTGTGGCAGAAGCACTTGTGGCACTAGATTGTGTAGTATTAGTTGTAGGCACTTGTGCTTGACCAAAAATTGGGGAAAGGGATAGGGTGAAGACAAGTGCACATTTATATAAAAGATGCGAAACCATTGTATTGTCGCTTTACTATGCTCTTGATCTGATCAGTAGTTGAAGGCAGGCCTTGGGGTATCTGCTCTTTAAATTTACAAATGAGGGTAACAGAAAAATAAAAATCAGGAAAGAAAGGTGGGGAAATTCAGAACGATTCAGAATAAAATAAGAAAGGCTGTTGTTTTTCTCTTTGTAACTGACATTTCTCGAATAACACAAGTCTATTTATACTGCATAGTCCCCCGCCCCCTCTAGAACCTTCTTAACGTATATATCTTAATACTTCGTTACTATAAAATGCAAACCCAAACAGCCCTTCCCCTACATTTATTCCCTTTTCGAACAAGACACGATATTTTCTCATAAGGCAATATCCATTACACACTGTGCTTTGGCCAACATTAAGTTATAACAATGCTTCTCAGCTTTCTATAATAAACATAAGCTTAAATAATTATTCTTTTATTATCTAATAAGCTATTAATTAAGTAAATATCTTGATCGAGATTATATCTTTAGTGAAAATATCAACTCGGACTATGCATAAGAGTATATTTTTCCTATAAAAATGACACATATGTGTACTCAGCTTAGAAGCACATGTATTTGCCTTGTCCTACTTGTACAATTTTAAACACCTCCACAAGATGATTTGCTCCTTTTTCTTTACATGTAAACAGCCTAAATTATATATTGCTTTTTTCTCTTTGGTTGCCTTGATCATAGTTACACATATCATCTGAGTGACCTCTCAAACTTTTGTGCATGTGTGTGTGTACGTGTGTATGTAAATCATTGAAATCTGATCAATAAAATGCTTAGATATAATCGACGAATTATTTTTACCCGCCCTATTTTGGCGCTCCTGAACTTTCTTTTTTTTTTATCACTTCCTGCATAGAATAATCTTTATCATTGAGCTCCGCCATGACGATAATAGAAAGAAGGACAAGTACAATAGAAGCACTTGACGTTCTATGGTATGATGCATCAACTTATGGTAAACCGATAACTTAAAAAGAAATACGATCGTCCAGTTGCATTTTTTTGCTGACCAACCAAAGATATTCCAAACAAGTAAATTCATAACAACTCCACATTTTTTTAATTACAGATCGAATAAGCTTTTTTTTTTTTACAAACACAAAATTTCCGTTTAAGGAAAGCAAAGAGAAAGGGAAAGATGCATAGGCCCCGTTTCTAATGAAAGAAAAAAAAAAAAAAAAAAAAATACACAAAAAGCTTAAAAAGGGCAGTTTAGCAAATAAAAGACTGTTGAATCTCCCATGTTTACAACCCTTTATGGCTGATGGCGTCGCTCATTTTCTGGGCCAATCTAAGACATACTCTTTATTAACTTTTTTATTTGTTCGATTTCGTTGTACAAAAGTAAAAAGTGGCACTGAAAAAGATGAACTGTAATTTTGGGGTTTGAATTTATATCCGTAATAGCAAGATCATTTTTGGTTAAATTAATAGATATTTGCATATTCGAATATTACTTACATAGAACCCACGCATCCAATTACTGCCTTGAGTTAGTATACGTCATTTAAAGGGGATCGTTGACACGGTTAAATATAATTCTGCATTTCATTGCTTTTGTAATATATTTAGTACATATAGTACGCTAATAATAGAGCCTAGGCTATCGTAACCTAGTTAACTTTTTATAAGATGCATGATTGCATACACCAGTTTATAATACACAAAGAAGGAGACAATTGAGATTAATTGAGATTTACAGGGCTTATAAGGAAGATAGTATAACCACGAGTAAACATTGGGCATCCCTTTTAGGGAGCTGTATAGGGGGTTATTATAATAGACAAACGTTTCTTTTTAGAAACACCGTCCCTTACTCGACCTTGTCTTACTTATGATTTACCACCCGCCAATTTAATTAGGAGCATAGCTTTTTATTTAATGATATAGACATCTTCAACCTTTTACTGTCATAGACACAACTACTGACCCACTCTGTTGGATTTGTGCAACCTAAATGAATAAATAAAGAAAAAATTAATATCTAGCTTTCGACCTTTTTGCTGTTTCATAATGGAAGTCACTGCATTAAATAGTTACCTTCGTCACGATAGGTCCTGATAAGATCAAACTCCTAAATAAAAGGGTGCATTATAATGGTGTATAGTCATGATTTATTGACAGAACTTAATAGAAGGATTTACAATCATCATTTCCTTATTTTGATCAAGATACTTTGCGCTTCTTGACTTGTACTTTGCTTTCTTTGGAAACCGTTTCTTCCATAATGGCAGCAGTAGCTCTAGTTGTTTTTTGTTCATTGCTTTTTTAAGTCAAAAGGATCATTTTACGTTCATCCAAACAAACTTGGGAAGAGACAAAATCAAGTTTTATAAAGCATCATTATGGGTTATTATGAAATGGTTTACTGTTTCATGCCTTGTATTACACAATCCTAATACTATCACCCTTGTCTACTAAAAAGAGCTTAGAAAATGAGAGAATTTAGCAAGTGCCTTATTTGGCTAAACACTATGTTTGCGCGACTCACAGACTAGTTAACATAGCTAAACAATAGAGTTGCTAAGAAAAACACAGACTAGTTAACATAGCTAAACAATAGAGTTGCTAAGAAAAACAAAAACTGCACAATGAAAAAGCGTTTAAGCGATATCCTATAGTACCCACAATAAACACATCTTACATTACTTTTTCGGCCGCTTGTTTACTCTCGTGTTTTCCTTTTTTCCTACAGTCAACGTTATCCCTTCTACTAAGCTACCTTAACATGGCCCTCTTTAAATGTTTAAGCTCTTTCCTCTTTTAAATATTTAAGCGAATGGCTTAAACCTTAATAGAGTATTTTAGGACACAGTGAAGCTGATAAATATTTTCGTCTGGAACATCCTTTGCATTATCACAGTTTGCGAAAGTGAATATGGTATACGGTTGGCACATGTAGCTGTCTGTTTGAACACTTGCCGTTCGATATCTGCTGTATGTTAAAAGTTTGCTGAACTTCGTCTGGAGCTGTCTTAACTGATAAAGGCTATCGTAATTGTGGATATAGTGATTTGACTGTTTCATATACAATTTTTCGGCTGTCTTCCAGGATAAAAGTTTTGGTTATGGCAGGGGAAACACTGCATGTACCAGAAAATGCACCAGACGTTAAGTACTACGGACGTTACCTCTATTCACTACCTATGATGTTGTCAACAAAGCTTTTCACCATCTTGTTTTGTTTCTTTTCAAGAAGGAGTTAAAAAGAAATGCTGCTATTTATTTATTTATTCTAGTTCTATGTGTCAGTTTGTTCAACAAAGAACCAATATCCTAAAGTGTATTTCTGATAAATTCACATTTTGTATCAGAGAGTATGAGCTGGACAGCCTTAGATTAGGCAGAGATTTCGATAGTATAAGGCTGTAAAGTGATATCACATGTAGTGCCTAGAAGAAATGCCTATAGTATTAGCCTATTTTCTGGCGTATTTTCTGGTGCATGGAGTGTTCACCTTTATAAAAAAGCGACCTTTTGTTTTGTTTTTGTGCGACCAAAATTTAGCTTCACTATATGTGAATATGCTTTCATCCTGCATATGAACTCGTGGGAAGGTCATGTGCTCAACTTGAGATGCATTCACTAGAATTGAAATCATAAAATAACTTTTAACCTAAAGGCACGTTGACCGAAAATAGAATCTGGACCCCTTCAATGAGATTTTTTTTAAAAAAAAATTCTTCGTTGTTAGAGAAACACTATAAAAGTGAAAGCACTATGTTTGTCAGCTCAACCGGAGAAGAGAAAGAAAGAGAAAGGGAGAGAATGACGTAAACCTCCATACATTCTATTGCTGCTATTAGTTTGTAAAATCGAAATGGTTGTGGCTGAAATCTCTAAATGGATTGCAACCAGAAAAGCACGATGCTCTTGATTACACAGAGATCCTTCAAAAAAATGCGACAGGAGTCACTAGTATCAATATGAAGAATACTAATACCAAAAGATGTAGCTTATCATCCACACATACAAACTACCAACAAAAGAGCAATACTAAAGAGAAAAACAGGTTAAGGAAACTGCGTTTTTATTGATATAGGTCCATATTTTTTTCTGATCTAAAAAAGGCATATATTTAATTAAGAAGCCAAGTAAGCCTATTTCTGTAACCTTATGAATGCTTGGCGCAATACAACCTATTTCCTTGTACAGTTAAGGGTCTTTATCAGTATATCACCAGTTCTCTTCAAGATGTATGATTATCTCTTATAATGTTCCTGTGTGTGTTTTTGGGTTGATGAATACATTAATGCTCGAATGCCGCGAAAATCCCTTTTTGATTAGAAAGATATTAAATATGCCTTCATGTATCATAAATTTGCATAGGCACTTTTATATCTGGAGAAATCAGCATTCTGTAGGAAAATGTCAGACGGATTAAGAAAAGGTTCGACTAGTAATGTAGTCCTATCAAAGACCACAAGAGGATCTAAAAAGAGTTATTGCACTGAATAAAAAGATTCTCAAATATAGTGTAAAACGCGAATGAAGAGCCACGCTAGCTCAGTTTATTAACAACACAGCCAGAAATGAAATTCATGCGGCCGTACTACACTCAAGTCAGATTTGGATAAGGTTAGGGGCAAAAGACGCTTGAAGCCTGAAAAGAGATACGTAATCAGCCTTTCGGGGTTCTAGATGAGATTAACTTTCAGCAATGTATCCTCTTTTGAAATTGGTAAAAATCGCCACTAAACGTGCGCCTGGGGAGAAAAATACGGGCCTGAAAGTTTGACCCCAAACTCCAGCAGCGATGGCTCCTTTGTCCCTGAATTACAATAAAACAAGTTTAACAATTCTACAAGAACTTATACTACTGCCTAAGAACGATATAGCCAACTTTGTTGTAGGTTGGTTTAACGATGAAATTGCTTTTGAAATGAGAGAGATCTTGACATGTTGAAGAGATGAGTAGAGTCAGGCACCATAAGTTGATGATAGTGAAGTCGGAGCCTGAATCAATGAGCAACGGAACAGCACTTTCTCAAACTGTTGCCTTTTCATTTAATTTTGACTATTTCTTCGGCACACAACACCATCAACATCGCCAACCTAATCTCTATTAAAAAGTATATCTAAATTCATGTGATCAAATAAACGACCAAGGCGAAAAACAGCACTCATTATACGGTTGTTACAAAACCTTATCCGTGTTGCTTATCTTCACTCCTGGCAATGGATATATGGACACACTGTCTTTGCCATTCTATCAAGCTTTCCATTCTATACGTACCGTCAGACCGCAGCTCCACCAATGCTCCATCACGGCAACTTCATTAACAAGTCGAATAGACTCTACTTCTACTTTTCAGTGGCTCAGTTGTTTATGGAGCCCTCATTCGATCGGACTATTCGCCTCCATCACAACAATGAGTTGTCATCCGCTGTCTAACTGGTATTATCGCCACAAGGTCACCGATAACCCTGCCTCGCCATATGTTGGTAAGCGACGGCAACGAACATCGAGTCCTATGCAAGAATTCCAAGCGGACTATGTTAGTCTGCAAAAGACAACAAGATCGCTCTTCACTTTTAACGCCCACAAGCATTACTTGTCTGTCTTCAGTTACTTTTACAAATTTTAGTTTATCTGCTCTGGATCAACAACCAAGGTCACGCTCACGAAGTGTAATATTATGTAAACACATTATACGAACAAGTGGTCTTGTTATTCCCACCCACTTCTTTTTCTTTCTTGATTTGCTTTATCTCTGTCTCACTCAGAGGATAAAGGTCAATATTTTTTATTTCATTTATTTTATATTATTGTATGTTGCACAAATTTGAATAAATAAAGCTTATATTTTCAAACACTGAAGCGATTTGAAAAAAAGAAAAAAGAAAAGGCGGGTAAAGAAGGGCTGTAAACAAAAAAGGGGGAGCTTTAAATAATAAACAAACTTAGTGTAACTTACGCCTTAATCAGCAGGGCATTATCTACTGTCCATGCAACAGGCACATTCCCTCTCCCCTTCTAAATGCATACAATGATCACGCTGCTTAATTGCAGCTTGATACAGGCTCTTCATGTTTACTTGTTAGAGTAAGCCAACCCGTAATTTTGATAACATTATAAGTTTCATCCTTGACCAAAATGATAAAAAAGAATAGTCTGTTTTACTTAGACACAGTATTCCTTTAGGTTGATAATAAAAAAACAAGAAAAAAAAAAGAGAGGAGAAAGAAAGATAAGAAAGTATGCACATCCTACATTCTAGAATTATGTATGTGAAAAAAAAGCAGAACAAGGCAAATATAAAGAATTCCATATGACGTTAACTGAGCCAATATCATTACACCTTTACTTAATAGACCTTTTTTTTGTTTTACGTGAGAATTAATAAGAAGCGATTACCGCTCTATCGGATACAAATTTGTTATTGCATGCTATTTTATCTTGAAGTTGGGACAAATAAGATACTTCTCTGTATAATATGCACATGAACATATATTTTGCGTTTCCTTCTCTTTTTCTATTATTACTTCTGTTGTTGTTATTATTTTTATGAATTGCATTTGTTGCCATGATGCTTGTACCGAGTGGTCGTATCATTGTGGTATTTACATTGTACATAGTGTATTGTTTGCATATAAACAAGGTTGAAAAATACTAGATTATTTTTAACAAATTGGTTCCGTGGCAACCCAAACTTTATAAACAATAACAATCTCAATCCTTGTTACACAACTGTTGCCTCTTGTTATGAGAGGGCTGTGATACGGCTGCAAGTTTGTATCAAGGGGTAGAAAAACAAAATAAAACAGTTCATGCGAGAAAAATGTGCAACTTGTGTACCCTTCAATTTTAATCCCCTTTCCATTGTTTAATATAAACAGGCGTGTTTTTTTTTTCTCTTCTTCTTTTTCTTTTACATTTTATTACTCATGTTTGCACCCACGTATACTTCTTTTGACTTGAACGGCAAGAAGATCTTGTATGATACCAGTTTTGATCATGTTGCGCGATTTGGTTCTGATCTGTATAGTCCAATGATACCGCCCAACGATTATATCGTAAATATGTCAGGTGTGTCGGACATGAATTCAAAAGAAACAGACTTGAACTTGGACTATCAAATGTCTGAAGGAAATAACATGATCACCAAACGAGACGCTATCTCTTATCTAACCGGCGAATTGGACATGACACAGTCAACTCTTGCAAAATTTTACAGTCTTGCGCCATTTAGTCCTATCGAAGGAGATTTAATAAACTATTCAGTTTGTGACAACGCCTTTGTCTCCGATGGCTCCGACCTAGATCCAACAGCGATGATCACAACTCAAATGGGTCATCCGAATGTGTTCAAAGAAAGCTTACCGTCATTTACAGAACTACCATCAACCGTCATATCTGGTTACAATTTAGAGCTACCTGTCGGTTTTGAAGAGCAGCAGCCGTACTTCAACTCGGGTGCTACGACATCATCGCTCATGTGTTGTACAACGCAAAACATTGTGGTACCCGAGGGAAGCATATCGCATTTACCTGATTTAGCAGCCCCTGATGAATTTATCTCTTCCGATGAAGATAATAATAGTGCCGCTGACGATCATGACTATCCAGACCAAAAGGATGAGGTCACTCAGGTTACCAAGGAAACGCCAAAAGAAGTAGAAACGGAAAAGGAACAGACGGAATGTAGTGACCGACATTTGGAACACAGCGATAGTCAAACAGTCATTAAGCCAGTTCGACGAAAGCTGACCAACCAGGCTCGTACAAAGAAACATTGTAAATCGGGTCACATCAAAAAGAGGAATAGCAAGCTGAGCAAGAAATCATCCGTGTTTTATCAAGATCAAAGTGATAATAGTAAGAGAACAAGAAAGAACTATGACAAGACTGTTATCAATATCCTCATGAGTTGGTACCTTGAACACGATGGAAAGATACCAGATAGTTCTGCTAAAGAGGGTCTCTGCAAACAAACTGGTAAATCTATTGTTCAGAGTAAGTGTGAATAAAAATGAAAGGGAAATTTGTATCTAACCTTATTTTTTTTCCCATAGTCTCCACATGGTTCCAAAATGCAAGACGTAGATACGCCGGTAAATTAGAAGCCTATAGGCTATACTCTATAAAGCATCCAGATATTGTGTATGATAGTGAATCTTTGGACGTATTTTTAAGATCAAAACAAATGTAACAAATGTCCCCTCCCCCTTGTTTATATGCTGATACCCCTCTTTTCTTTTTCTTTTTTTTTTTTTTGCTTTAAACATTCGCATACTGTATTTAAATAAACAACAAAAAAAGGCTGTGTACTATTTTCAAGTTTCTTCATCGTTTCTAACCTGTATTACATAAAGAACCATGATCTTCTCGAAACGATACCAAAACAAACAGAAAGGGCTCGTAGTTCATCTACCTTATCAGTATTTTTATGTGGTTGCATATCCAGCAACGCCTGAAATTGGTTGATGTAAACAGAAACACATGATAATTGTGAAAAATATATTGCAATAATGAGACTGCGAGTGCCTTAGCAAATACTTATTTGGGTTTGTCTACTTAAGTAGTTATTACTTATATAATCGAGGATAAAGAATTGGTATTAATGAACATAAATTAACTCTAGTTAAAAGAATGAAAAAGTTAGTCCTGTGCATAGTTGAAAAAAAAAGAATTTTTTTCATTTCTTTCTTTCCCTTCTTATTATGGCACCCACATTTCATAAAAGCAAAATACCACATAAACGTGGTCCAACTCCTGGATCAGTACTTCCTAAAACGATGAAAGAGGAAGTCGATGCTGCAGGTTAGTTTATGATTACAACGTCTTGATAAAAACTAATGTATTTTGTTTAGAAAAGGACGATCGTAAATTTGGAAAGAAGTTTGTCAACAAGATTGCCAATCGTAAGGAACTAAGAAAACAGAAGCGTGCAGAGAAAGGTAAAAGAAAGGCTATCCATCAACAAACAAGAGATCAACAAAGCAAGAAGAGATTACTTCCTGAAAAACAGCCTCAATCTAGTAAACGTCAAAAAAAGGAAGATCTGCGCAAAGATCAATCCAAAGATCAACCTAAGAAGCAAGTGGCCAATCCTGAGGAAGCTGAAAAACGTTTATCGAAAAAGAATCCAGCACTTTATAAAATGTTGGCTGCTGACAACCTGGTAGGCAAGAATAGTACAGCCGATGAAGACTTTGAAGAGGATGACAAGGAAATTGCTTACTGGGAAAAGAAGTTGGGGTTAAATAAGAAAAAGAAAAAGAAGCTCGGAAAGGAGTTTGAAGATGATGGTCTACTGGATGTTTTGGGTAATGCTGACAACGCCAATAATGAGGTGGATGATATAGAATATTTGAAGCAAAAGCGAACAAAACAAGCTCAATTGAAGGAACAAAAAGGCTTGGAAGAGAATGCTGAAAGAGCAGTAGATCAATTATTTGAAGGCTTTCCAAGTGACGAAGAAGATGATGATATGGATGCAAGTGTTGACGAAGACATGTCAGATATACTTGACGATGAACAAGAAAGTGGTGAAGAAGGCTATGAAGAAGAAGTATCAGATGCCTTTGAGGACGAACAAGAAAGTGATGGAGAACAAGATGATGATGATGATGATGAAGAGGAAGAGGAAGAGGAAGAAGAGAGTGATGAAGAGAGTGAAAAGGAAGAACAAGTATTAGTTAAAGAGCCACCAAAAAGCTCTGTGCTGACAAAATATGTTCCTCCTCATTTAAGAAAACCTGTGTCGACCGGAAAGAGCGAACAACAGTTAAGATTACAAAAGCAACTTCAGGGTCAACTTAACAGATTGAGTGAGTTAAACATTGAAAGTATTCTAGTTGAAATCGAAAAGTGCTATGGAACTTATCCACGTCATGGTATGTTTATTTATGAACTATATATTAAACAACTATCTAACCTCGCTTGACAGATGTTACATCAACCATTACTGAGCTTATCATCAACTCCATCTCACAAAGGTCGAATTTGCTTGATTCATTCGTGATTACATATGCAACCATAGTTGCAAGTCTTTATCGTTTAGTTGGTGTTGAGTTTGGTAAATTCATAGAATGACCTATTGATAAGTCGCTAACATATCTTGTAGCTGCCCATTTTGTACAAACGGTTATTGAGATGTTTGAGACGGAACATAAAAAATATAGAAAGGCAAAACAGCAGACGATTGACGATGAACAAGAAGGTTACAAGGAAACGAGGAACTTGTTAACATTGATACTCGAATTATATAACTTTCAAGTCATCTCATGTATCCTTGTTTATGATATCGTGCGTATGCTTATCAGTGAACTAGACGAAGGCAATGTAGAACTCTTGCTACGAATTATTAGAAGTGAATATCCATATTACATATGATTAATTAAAATACTAATTTTTGTTTTTCGTAGCTGCTGGAGCTGAGCTTCGTAACGATGATCCTACCTCATTAAAACATATCATTGATGAAATACAAAAGGAAACAGCTAAACGCGATCCTTCGACTATATCGTAAGTGTTAGAAATTAGTATATATGATGCTTTTTTTGTAACGTTTTTTTTTTTTGCTACAGTCTGCGTCATAAGTTCATGCTTGAAACAATCGCTAATGTGAAAAATAACAAGATCAAGAATAAACAGACAGCAGCTGGACATGGTGATAAAGAGTTGGTACAAAAGATGAAAAAGTTTATACAAGGATTATCAAAGAAGAGATCGACCCGTAGTACAGAAGCCTTGCGTGTCAGTTTGGATGATATTCACAACGTCCATACAAAGGGTAAATGGTGGCTAGTTGGTGCCTCATGGAAGGATAATTTGGTAGGCACAGAGAGTAAATACAAGACAACAAATGTACCTGAAGATCTAAAGAAGGATCAATCAATGCAAGAGGCTCTTTTGAAGCTTGCGAGAAAGCAGGGAATGAATACAGATATACGTAGAACTATATTTATAACAATTATGAGTGCAGAGGTTTGAACAAGCATAAGGCTTTATTAAAATAAGATAGGCTAACGAAGCGAAATGATGTAGGATTATTTAGATGCATTTGAGAAACTGATGAAGCTAGGCTTAAATGAAGTCCAACAAAGAGAAATTTGTCGTGTTATGCTTCAATGCACAGGAAATGTAAGGGAATATGACTATGATAATCCTTTATCTAATAAATGATCATAGGAAAAAACATTTAATCCATACTATATGCTTGTTAGTAGAAGATTATGTGAAATAGACCATTCCTTCAAAGTGACCTTCCAATACTGTCTATGGGATTTTCTTAGAGAGTGTGGCGAAAACGAAGTGGGTGGTCTAGAACGAAGTGCGAGTGAAAACTTTTCTGGAAGCAAAGAAATCAGATTAAGCAAGATTGTAAACATGGCCAAGTTTTATGCTTCATTGATAACTGAAGGTGCTCTTACACTTGCTGTCTTGAAGAGTATCAACTTTATGAATTTACAAAAGAATGGCCGCATATTCCTGGAGTTACTCTTTGTAAATATATTATTACAATTGCACGCTGGAGGAGCACAGGCCATCGCCAATGTATTTGGCAAGATACGAGACCAGCGAATACTTGCTCAAGGCTGTATATTCTTCATTGTAGGAACTGTTGCTCACTGTAAACACTCTGGACTTGAAGAGGATGATATAGAAAAAGTGCAGTGGGGCTGTAAAATAGCTAAAGAAGTATTAAATAAATGATCCAAAAGCATTTAGACATTATTTCAATTTAATATATAATTGTGGCAACAAAATAAGTGGATATACCACTAAACAAATGTCTTAGGCCAATACTGCATGCACAAAAAATTCACGACAGAGTGGCTAATGCTACGAGCGCTACCTCGGGATGCTGACTATGATTTTATTTTACAACTTCACACTGTCAAAGTCTCTATCTAACCAAAGGCTGTCCTGTGGGATATTCTTTAATGTGAAATACACTTGAGTGATCTTGACAACATATGAAAATAAGGCAATAACAACATTTCTTTTTTATCTCTTCTTGAAAAGAAACATAAACCAAGATGGTGACTTTTTAAATGCATGTGTAGCTTGACGCTACACAATGAAAGGCTTTATTGGAGGACATCACGGGTACGTGGACGCCAGACCACGTATGTGCTAAAATAACCATGACGTTTATTAATAAAACACCAAGTAAAATGTTGTTATCATTTTTTTCTTTATTATTTGATCTACATCTTCTTGGGAGAGACCGTAAACAAAGCAGAGACAAGAAAGGGGCAAGGAGGGCGAGGGAACAGCCAACATTACTTACTCGTATAATGTGTTCAATACTTCATATATTCATGCTTACATAATATTTTCCGTTCCCTTCTTACTCAGTTTCCTCCCCTTTGACCTCAAAAGGGTTTTTAGATTCTATGTACCTTTTTTTGATCTGGCCCAGGCGGGACGAAATTATATTGTTTCAATGCATCCATTGTGGTCTTTTATTTTCTTTAATAAAATATTTGTTTAAGCGTATGTCCACTTATTTTGTTGTCACAATTATATATTAAATTGAAATAATGTCTAAATGCTTTTGGATCATTTAAATATACGTTCTTTCCTCTTCTCTTTTCTTTTTCTTTCAAGTAAAATGAAGAAGTCATTGTTGGTCCTTTCTCTAATCATTGGATTGTCTACTGCTTTTGATGTAAGTTGGCCCACTTTCTTTTTTTCAATCCATTTTATAACCATTATTGATCTGTCAATTTCAAAGAATACCTGTAATAATAATGTTGTTGCCTGTAAGTAATAATCTTTATAAATCTTGAGGAAACTCAAACATCTCTTTTTCTTAGATTGGGGTCAAAATTCATTTGGTGCTGCCAATAGTCAGGATAAATCTGGTTGGCAAAAGCCATTAAGTTTCTATTGTGATGATGACTCTATAAATGTCTTTCCAATATCCTTTTTAACAACTTTCTTTGGCCCTGGAAACAGTCCTGAAATCAATCTTGCCAATGTAAGTCCTCTCCCTTTTTTTATAAACATATAAACTAAAAATGAAATCAAGACATGTAACAGTGTCGATAACTCTACTTTTGCTGGAACTGCTTTGGCTGACTGTACAAGCATGGCTTCTGATATCAAGTATTGTCAATCAAAAGGCAAGCTGGTTACCCTCTCTTTGGGTGGTGCGACTGGTAGCGTTGGGTTTCAATCAGAAGATCAAGCCAACATATTTGCAGAAACCATTTGGAACGTCTTTTTGGGTGGTAGCTCATCCACTCGCCCCTTTGGTGATGCTATACTAGATGGGTAAGTTATGTCACCATCTCTTTTAATAAGCAGAGAGAGAGAGAGAGCAAGAAATGTTTACTATTTTTTTATATAGCATTGACCTTGATATCGAAGGAGGCGGATCAAATTGTAAGATTCTAGAAATGCAACAAAATTCTTGCTAAATTGACAACAAATTAGATTATGTACCTTTTCTTCAAAAATTAAGTTCATACTTTGATGATTCAAAAAAGTATTACATTACTGCTGCTCCCCAATGTGTCTTTCCTGATGCTAATCTTCAAAATACCTTGAACGCTTTCCCATTCGACGCTGTTTATGTTCAATTCTGTAAAATAATAATAGTACCAATAATCAATATTTTGGTTATTAACTACAATTAACAGATAATAATCCCTGTGGTCTTCAATACTTTGATAGCAATCAGTGGAACTTTGGTGTCTGGGATAACTGGGCTCGTAATTCCTCTCCTAATCCCAAGGTCAAGGTTTACATCGGCGCACCTGCTAGTCCATCTGCTGCTGGTAGTGGTTATGTTGGTCCTGATACTTTACTTAAAATTGCAGCGACAACAAAAGAATCATTTCCTAGCTTTGGTGGTGTCATGTTCTGGGGTAAGACTATCACGAAGGGATTGATATGTTTATAAAGCGCTTCTTCTATATATAGATGCATCACAAGCTTATGCTAATAATAACCTTGCTGCTACTATAAAAAATGGATTATCTAGTGGAAAAAGCTGTGGCCAGTCGTTTAATCTTTCTGTATGTACTGCACCTCCTTATGTTGCTGGTACTAGCTACAGTCGAGGAAGTACGGTTAGTTACAAGTAAGTACTACGCGTAGAGTGAGAGAGAAAGCTTTTTTATTCTAATCACTTACAATAACAAATAGTGGATATACTTGGGTTGTAAGTTTTAAAAGGCATATTGTTTCACTTTTTATCAAATAGTAACTGTTTATGACTTAGGCTAAATGGTATGCCTCGTCTCCTCCATCTTCAAATCCTTATTCTGATTGGGTTCCTATCAAGGCATGTATGCCAAATACGAGTGGAGCAGAAACATCTCTACCAAATATGATACCTGTTAGCAGTATATCCAAATCAGCTTCCAGTTCTATACAATCCATCACATCAAGTCGTTCTGTTATGGTACCCACAGCATCATCATCAGCAACACTATCAGTATCCAACACTGCCTCGCCTCCTGCAGCTACTGGTTCCCCATCAGTGCCTTCTACATGTTCCGGCGTACCTGAATGGTCACCCACTATTGCTTACACTGGTGGCAACATGGTTTACTACCAAAATGCTGTTTGGAAAGCAAAATGGTGGTCTCAAAACGATATTCCTGGTGGTGTCGCAGGCGTTTGGGAAAAGGTGGATGCTTGTGGCCAGTCAAGAACTTTATCAGCTCGATCTATTATTGAGGGTATAATCTAGCGATATAAGGCTCATAGAAACTTATATGGCTTTTTTTTTCCTAGCTGCTGCAAGAGTTCATTGTAAGCGTGACACTACCAAGTGGAATAGATTCAAGAAGTACAGTAAAGGAAATAGGGTTCTTTACAAGTAAGTGGGGGATATTTTTATTTTTATTGTTGTTTATTCATTGTATATTATCAGACGCTCGGTCTATGTTGCTTCTGATTCTAATGTTGTAAGTTATATATACAAGTTAGTGTTGCCTTACCTAATTGTCTTTATATTTATTGTAGAATGAGCAACCAGGATCTACTTCTTTCTTCTGGCAAAAAGACATTAACTGCGTATAAGCAAGCTTAAAATGGCTACATATTCACTTAGATACCATACTCGCTGTTGCTATTTAATTTATTGATTTTTAGACATATATTTATACATTCATATCAATTTCGTATATAGAAAGAAAATAATAAAAAAAAGGGGTACTTTATTGCATTTACAATAAATGGTTATGTGGTATCGGCTATAGCAAATTATTATATGCTATGAATGTATCAATTCTAGTTTAAATTAAGTGTGATGCTGTGTATATGGTTATTGTTCAATTGTTCCAAACATATTATTGCTTGATTCTGCAGGCGTAGCTTTACGTACACCGGCAAAGCCTCTTCTGTCACCCTTTCTCATCATGATCTTCCAATTTGCTTTTAAATTATTTAATACTCTCTCAATCTCTTCGTTGTGATCAGGAGCAGACGCTAAGAGAGACGTCATTTGTAACATCTTGGCAGCTGTTGCAGCAGGATTTTGCGAAGAACCAAAGTCGGTAAACAACTTATTGAAGACATCTATAAACACAATGATTAGAAAAATACTGAGGAAGGATGCTTGTTACCTTCTAGCCGTTTTGTCTGCAGCAAGATAACATTGTCTCTAAAGCTCCTTAATGCCATATTTCTCACATTCCATGCCTCAGCTTCGTCAGCAGATCGGTATATTATGTCTGTACGTAAAGGTAAAAATACAGCTTCAAAATAAGGTAAGGCATAAGTGAAGAAGAAGGACCACTGTTCGACCAGTCTATCCAGCAGTTTTTCATCTGTCACACCAAACATTTTAGAATTTAATGTAAACATGCCATCTCTCAATAATGCTTCAATGTCATGATAAAACTGAGGTGAAATAGGATCCGTTAAGCAGCGCCTATAGATGTATTAGAGCAAGAAGAAAAAAACGATAAGGTTCAGTTACCTTAATAATTCATTCAAATCTTCAATTGCTCCTTGTGGGCCTTCGCCGTTAAATAAAGGTAAGACACGAACACAAAGCGTCTGCCAAGCATCTTCTTGAGAGCTAGTGAAGAGTCCACTGTTGCTATTGACATTGCTTACATTATTCAAATATATACTGGATTGCATCATGCTCATACTACTGAAGCTGTTCTGTCTACGATAGGGTCCTCCTGGAGCGGTAGGAGGTGCTGCCATAGGCTGAAATGATATACTTCCTCCTACAATTGTATTATTGCTCACTGCATTGGCAGGAGAAAAATAAAAGTTGGAGTTATTAGATGAAGAAGGTGCAATATCCTCTCCTCTTAGATGCATAGTTGACCTTTCAACATCACGAGCAATTGACTTTGCGTCCAGCGCATTTAATGACTTGTGTATAGAGGGTGATGTTATGGGTGATGTTGGTCTTTGAACAGATTGTGACATAGATCTATCAAGGCTTCCTGAACTCGGCTGTTTACGAGCCCTAACATTGGTTCCCGGTTTTGATGTCTGACAGCTACCTCCACTGAATGGCGATTGTATAGTTGGTGTTTCTGGAGGATAGCCAGTGTTTTGTGATGAACTGCTTTCTGCTTTATCCATAAAAAAGGATGAATTTGATGAAGGAGAAGAGCATACACTTAGTTCTTCAAACGTAGCCTGTTGAGATGTAGGTAGAGACATTTTAAACAACAAAAAGAAAAAGAGAGAAAAAAAGATATCCAAAAATGGAAATCAATTGCCTCTCTCTGTGTGTGTCTCTGTTTCTGTTTGTCTTGTGACTCAGTTTCATTTGGCTCTCCACCCCCAAGCAAAAAGGGAAGCTTTTCTTTCAATATGTTTTCAATCTTTCGTCGAACGGCAGTAGAGGTAGCTGAGTCGAGTTTAAAAGGTAGAATGAAGCATACTGTTATTCTAGTAGTTATTTAATATCATGAAGCTTTAAATATGGACGGCCTTAGAGGCTGGCAAAGAGAGATGCCCATGACAGCTCTTAATTCGCAAAAAGATCTCACTCAATGGGTAGTCGGCAGCGATAAAGACATTGGCGGTTTCTCAGAAGCTCACTTGGAGATTACACCAGAAGGCACAGGGAGATTTCATGGAAACATTTCTTTGGATCTTCCTACTAATCCAGAAATTAAGCAAAGCGGATATGCTGCTATTCGTACAAAAGTAACAGTGATATTCAATTGATGATCCATTAGCCTTATTTTTTTTTTTTTTTCCTATTAGCAAAAAGAACAATCGTTATTTGGAATACCTTGTTGGGATACAACCTTATTTCGTTATTTGGCTCTGCGAGTGAAAGGAGATAAAAGGAAGTATTTTGTAAATATACAAACAGACGGTATTGTCAAGACAGATCTATTCCAACATCGATTATTTTTACGTACACCAGGTCAATGGGAGACAGTGATGGTAAGCAAAAATACCTTGTATATAAACTCCACAAGTAATTCGTGATATAGATTCCCTTTAAAGACTTCATTTTAACAAACAATGGCATGATTCAAGAAGAACAGATTGAAATGTTTAGAGAAAAAGTCAGAACAGTTGGTATCTCTCTCATGGACCGCCAAGAGGGTCCTTTTAATATTGAAATCGATTGGATAAAAGCTATGAACACTGAGTTCACAGAAGGTGATATGGACAGAGTACCAGACAAGGTTGAACAATTGTAAATAATAAATAATATCAGACACTTTCTCCACTTGTCAAAGATTTGCTTTTTTCTTTCTTTTCTGCGAAATGATGTAGCTCCCACAGTGAGACATATTGGCGTACACTCGCATGACAGAGAGAGTATTTCGTATTTTCAGAGTTAAAATCAATGATTAGTATAGAGCATTGGATGCTTTGCAAAAGACTAAAAGTAGTTTAATATACACTTTTAAACAAGATATTGTCATGACGCATAATTATGCATTTGTGTGGCAGCAAAAAAGATGTTTAATAACCTTTGACCAGCTATGGCCTCCGATTTCACAAGGCGTTTAGATGTTTTAAAACCAAGGTTATAACACATGTTATATTTCCAGAGACGATTAGGAAATAAAAGAAGTTCATTTTATAAGAATGCAAAAGAATTATGTTGAAATATGCCTTCCTCTGTTCTTGAGTAAAAGCTACATACCTGAAAGTACGTCAAGCGAATATGAAAGTAATTATAATTATATTAAAGAAGTGAAGTTGCAGCTTCAGAATTTGATGTCGCCCAACAATGAAGTCGTGTTCACGTGTCATGAACTTTGTTTATTTTTACTTGTCGCTTAGTGATTATTATTACCTTAAGATATGTACGTAAAAAAATAAAAAATGTTCATTTAATGGTTTGTTTGTTTTTTTTTTTTTTGCTTAATGGTTTTCGTTTTTGACTGCTTTCTTCTTGCTTAAGCAACCTCCCATTAAGCAAACAGGCTACGGAGGCTCTATAACCTTTCTTTGTTAAGGCGCTTTCCAAAGCATTTAGCAGAATGAGAAGCAAAACCTTTGAAGTCACTTAAATACAAACTATCGCATGCCTCACTAATTCTAGTCATTAGCGACCCTTTTCTAGAAACTTATTTCGCTTCACTTTACTCTTGACAACTGCCCAGAACTGCTCAATTGGATTCAGTTCAGGAAAATACGGAGGAAGATAAATATACCAATATCCTCAAGAGCGAATATACCTTCCTATATCAGTAGAGCTATGGATAGGAACATTATCCATGACAAGATAATGTCCCTTCATTTCTGGATACTTATCCATTTCATCAAGAGTGGCCTTTAAAAAGCTCAGATAGTGCCCTGTCACTGTCCCTGTACTATAGGCATCAGTCCCACGTCCAAGCTTTCTCTTTTTGATACGCTTTAGAACCCTCAAACTAACATTAATTAAGCCAGTGGCAGACGTTGCACCTAAAATCGAAGTTACATTTGCTTTAGTTGTAGGCACTGTAACTATTGCAGGAGTTCCTTCCCTTGACCAAGCCATACTTCGTTTCAAATTAATATGAAAGGCTGATTCATCAAGACACAATTGGCTGTAAAGTCCAAGTCAGTTTGCTGCCACTTTTGGACCCAATCGTATCTTTGCTGAATTTTTTCTTCGCTATTTCTTTCCAAAGAGTGGAATTGTGCTTGTTTAATGGATAGATTACACTGAGTTGTCATGAAGTTATAAACAGTACTACAAGAAACATTAAGATCTACAAAGTTTTGTGTCAAACTTTCTACCACTTCAGTTAAAACAGCAAAAGGATTCTCATCAATGTAGTTTAAAAGAAATCGCTTATGCTTCTCCCTAAGAATACGATGCCGGCCTGATTTTTTTCTTCTTCTCGAAAATGCTTTCAGGATCTTCGTAATAACGTTTAACCCATCTCTGGGCTGCACGAATATGAATACCTAATTGTCTCGCAGCAGCAGAAGCACTTAGGTTTTTACTAAAAATAGATGAAAAAATCTAGTTTTCTCATCATCAGAGTAAAATGTATAGCGTCGCTTATTGCATAACTCCATATCAACATCATTACTCATTTCATTTGCAGTTGGATGTATTGCAGGATTAGAACTTTCTGAAGGTTTATTCTTTAGAAATTGAGTACGAGAACTTATGGTTTCGATAGCGAACACCTCCTCATCAACATGTCCTCGTCCATCATAAAAAAACCGAATACTCATTTTGAATAACTGTACTGTAAAATAAACTGAAACAGGAAAAAAGCAAGGAATTATCGCTCCATTTTTATAAAAATAAAATGCCAAACAATTTTGTATGGTAATAATAATCACTAAGCGACAAGTAAAAATAAACAAAGTTCATGACACGTGAACACGACTTCATTGTTGGGCGACATCACTTCCTGAAATGACTTCCTTTACGCCCTTCGGTTCCCCAAGCCTAGCTCTCACCTAGTCTCAGCGATGGCCGATTATATGCTCCCTACTACATGAATTAGATCAGCTACACCATAGCAAATTGATCTCTACCAAGCATTCATTTAACCTTTCATCGATAACCCTACTCATTAACTTCCGTTTACATTTTTTACCCTTGTACTCATGAGGGGTTTTTTCGCTAACATTCACTTCCAAACGGATTGAACGGGTCCGGACGGACGTTTACTATATTATTTTATTTTTGCGCTCATTTGGACTATGAATAAAATATCATGTTTAAACAAAAATTTATAATACAAAATATACAAAATATGGCATCTTGGGACGACATTACTTTCTGGAAATAGTGTAGTTGTGGGGTCATTTCATGAATACCCACGGACATTCGTACTAGGAATTAATGCATTTTCTGGCACCTTATCTGGCTTCTCGAAGGTAGCCTTCTGGAGCGTGTAGTTATCATCGTCTTACGCCCACACATGTCATCCAATGCCTTCACATGCACAACTGCTTCTATTTTTTCTTTTCTATTGATGATTCACTTTCCTTTTGTCTGAGCAAGCTCCCCATAGGCCTCAAAATCACCAGCGACTGTTGTCAAATGACAACAATAGTGGATAGTCATTACAGGACCTTGAATACCCTAATCGTCTACTTCACATCGAAACATACTTTCAAGTCATTGATAAAGGCCATTTTCATCCTTTGATTATCGTCGCGAAAACAATCCATGCTGATTAATGCTCAGGTCTTTTTTTTTTCGCTGAGTTTTTTCAGTTTCTTGTGATACTTTGGACAAGCCGGGCAAGTTACTTTGGTCTGTGGACTCCGCGCCTATAGGTCTTTTAAATCTATTTTTTTGGTTGATCAACTGCTAGTCTTCTTTTCTGTTGCAAATGCCCATTAGTCAATTAAAAATAAAAACAAACGTTGTTAAACGGTAAAAAGAGAGCTTAATAATAATAAACAGTTGTATAACCTCATTTTTGTCTCAGTATTCATAAAGAATATCTCAGTTACGAGAAGGAAGCTGAACACCAACAAAAGCGTATTGACAAGCTCATTGCTGAAGGTGCAGATGAGGCCGACGTAAGAAAACAGGTAAATAGAATATAAAATTAATATAAGCATATTAAACATGTATAAAAATAGAAAGAAGTTCTTGATGAAACATTTCAAATGATCCCAGACGTCAAAAAGAGACTCGCAACAGCTTACCAAGACTTGCAAAATCAAATTGTCAGTAATTTTGAATGTAATATTTGATGGAAGAGTAACTAATTCATTATTATTTAGGAAAATGGTGAAAATACAGATCTTGATGAATTACAAGAAGCTCAAAGCATCCTTTCCGAGATATCCACAGAAGTTTAAATCGCATACCATTTGGAGCCTTATTTTACTAAATAAACCGTTTTTATCTGATAACATTATATATACACAAAACCCTATTTATTATCCTGTTGTATCCATTGCATCTACAGTTTCCACAGTCGGTTCTTGTTCCGTAACCATGTTTACTTTTTCTTCTGCCGTCAAAGCTTCGACAACAGGACCAGTAGACTAGATGTAGATGATATATCAGTCAATAATCCCAAGATGACTCCCTCTTCTATGAATATTATCTTTACCTCAACAAAATCATCCAGTAGTTTATCAAACTGATCCACTTTTCTTTGCACCTTGATATTCTCTTTTATCAGCTGTACCTTTCTTTGTTCAAGTACCTCTTTTTGTTCTTTTAGCCTAATGTCGTCTTAATAAAGGAACACGATATATATCTTTTTACTTACTCTGCTCGCACAACAAGTTCATATTTTAATCGATTGATCATCAATTGGTGAGGATTATCTGAATCAATAAGATATTCTGGTCCTGCTTTTGACTGAAACTCTTCTATTGGTATAAGTTCAACATCCTGGTATACAGATCTTTATAAAATAAAATTATAAATTATACTTTATATAAAACTAATTGGCTTACCTAAATTCACGACATTGAACGATTTCTTCAAGAATATGTCTCTTTTCATACATGACGTCTTGTAATTCAACTTGCTTTTTATCCATATGATCTTTAGCATCTGATGTTGATTGTTTACTGTCTCGCATAGAAATGTATGAATTGGCTTGAAGATCTTTTAGTCTGTCAAGACAATTTTGGATTTGCTCGTACTCGTCAGCATCATAATCACCTAGAGTACCCTACTCAATGTGAATCTAAGCTTCTTTATATAGAAAATTAATTACATTTATCTTCTTTTGCATATAACTTGTCAAGATGGTCTCAAGTTCTTTTGATGCAATTTCAATTGAATCTATTGTAGGCATTTTGTTAAAGACCAAAAAAAAAAAAGGAAATTGTTATTTCCGCCCTCAAATGAGTGTTTTTTTTTTTCTCTCAATTTTTTATTTTATTTACTTTCATGCACACAAATACAAGATTTTTTTAGTCTCGTACGTGAGAAAGTTCAACAGCAAAACCAACGGCGACCTTGGCAAATTCCTTCATGTGGTCAAATGAGAGGTTTTCAATAACATCTCTTGTTGTATGAATATAAGGATTTGAATTATCAAATTCACTTTCAATAGTGAAAGCAGAAGGGAATCCAAGTTTGCGCCAAGAAGCGTGATCTAGAGCGGTATTGAGTAACATTGAACAATTGATTCTAATAGATCTTACCACTGCATGCATAGCCACATTCTGTCAAACTGTAAGGGATTGCAGCATAGGTATCAACCAAAGCTTTCAAGAAATCAGTCAACTATAAACAATTAGTAACAAAGATACGCACTTTAGAATATAGTTACTTTTTCATCCACATGGTCCGTAACGATGCCAATGACTTCCTTATCCTTATTTTTGCCAATGAATCCTGTCATGTCATTCTGTAGCATTGCAACAACTCTCTTTCCTTCTTGATAATACTTGTCGGCTACATCTTGACTGCCCAACAAACCAGCTTCTTCACCACTATACCAGTGGAATTCAACAGGTCTTTCGGGCCTGAAGCCATTGTGAACAAGACTGCGGAATGCTTCCAAGATAGTAACAGTGCCACTGCCATCATCCTAAGGAATGATGTGTCATTATCTTGACTTTCTTTTTTATATGAAACTTACATCAGCACCGGGTGAACGGCCGAAGGAAGGAAGCCACATGTTGACAGAGTCTTGATGAGCGCCAACAATGACAACTTCATTTTCAAGGTCTTTGTTGGAACCTTCGAACCGAGCAATAATGGAGAATTGGTCCCACTAGTTTATGTTTAGCAATGGTTTGTGTAACAAAGATAAGTCTTACGGAGTGTTCAAATTCCTTGACGGACACATGATCATTGCCTGATGCAATATCTCTAATTTGTTGTATCAACCAGCGGCATGACTCAGCGCCGTACTTGGACTTGTAGTATCTGTTTCGGAAACTGGTAAAGTGTGTCAACACGGTTTCCATAGTATCAGTTGTCAAATTGCCAATGAAAGGTTCGGCCTCTTGTTGGTAGATAGCCTTGGTAGGGATGGCTATATACGAAATTAGGTTTCTATCTAAGACTTTTATATATAAACATACCGGGTGTCTCAGCAGCAAAAGAGGTTACTGGGGTGTTAGGATGGTCTGTGATATCCATAAACTTGATGCCAGCACGGAGTAAAGCTGACTTATCACTTTCGGTCATCCATTTGGGAGGAACGTCATCACTATTGTCAAGTATGAGCAATGCTTCACACAGATGAATTAATAAGTTACTACCTATATTGTATCAATCTGCGCTGAGGTTCAGGAACGTCAAAGATTCTAATTTGGTCAATCAAGGGACTTGCATTTATAAGGGCAGCAAGAGCAGAGAGGGATAAGAAGGATAAAGATATGAGTTTCATGTTTGTTTTTACGAAAAAAAAAAAAGGGAAAAGAGTAATGTGAAAAGACGCAGGAAAAAGATTGTCTGTGAAAAAAATGTCGCTTTTTCAAAATATCGTAAAATCGCTTTAGATACTTTTTGCCTTAATTGGAAAGTATATTCAAACTATGCCAAAGTCGAAGCAACCACAGGCAGAACCTTCTGCTACTAAGGCTGAAATAACTCACCTTCAACAATAAAACAACTCTCTCGGTGGATGTTTAACTAAGCCTTCCCCTGTCGCTGAATTGGCTGGTTCCAGCCCCTCCATTGTTACTCATCCACCTGAGTCACCTGGCAGTGCCAGCTCTCTTAGAAACAACCTTCCTCCGCCAGCCAAGGTTGTAAGTTCTAATACCACGAAACCTCCTTCAAGCTAAGCTGCCGCTCTTCGTACATTTCGCCATTTCTCTTCAAATCAAGGTTTCAAATACCTTTATGTTCCTGCCCAGCGATGTATCCCAATCGGCCAACTACTGTGCCTGCATACCAACAGCAGTCATGTCCTCAATGTGTATTATTTGGGCCGCTACCTTGTTATCTTATTCACAATGATTGTGGATCGGAGCTCCATTCACAGCTAAATTAGTTTGCAAGTATTGTTCGCGAAGAGTCTGACCCTCTTGAACCCGCAAATTTTCGTGACCTGACGTGCTCCAAATGGTATCACCAAGATAAGGTCATCTATACCTTTGGTGCTTTCGCTGATTGCATGATTTGTGCTATTTGTCTTATTAGAGCTCCTGCTGCACAATTCTTTGCTGAAATTTTTTCATACCACTGATAAATGATTCTATCCTGCACTTTGTTGCCAATACATTTTTATTCTTGGTCTCAAGAGTGAATGCCATAACTTATTATTCAATTTCTTAGAATAATACAGACTTTGACAATTATATCCACACTGCGAGTCTTCCCTTTCAAGACAGGATCTCTGCTATAATTTTAAAAGAAGTTATCAATGGTCATGCTTCTGCATAAAGCATTATCTAGTAATATAGTGTAAATAAGGCCTTTGATTATATATGTTTGTTGCTAGATATTGTTTAGAAGAAAGATGGCTTCCAGCTCTTTTAGTATTATACCATTATGTAATATGAGTTTTATGCTCAGCTGGATAGTGTCGTAGTTGAAGTATTGGTTGTAGTAGTAGTATTTATAGTTAGTACTCGGTAATGTATAGAATAAAAGCAAAGAAGTGATGAGTCTCTGCTTTATCCTTTTTTTAAATGTGCGAGTAGGAGCTCATAGCAAAAAGAAATTAGGTCTTTTTAAAAGAGGCCGGAGTACTAACTAAGGTACATGTAATTAAGTCAAATGTAATCCCACAGGTAAAGATTAATATTAGACATGGTCAAATACGACAGTAGTTAATCCAGCCATCTCTCGCGATGTATAGTATTGCTACGCATTCAGAATATGTGTAATTGACTAGTAGACAAAATATCACCTAATTTTGATAACAGAATGTTGTCGATGCTCATACGCAACAAGGCCTCGCTCTACCCTCTTTTTGTACCCGTCTACTTCATAAAAATAATAGTACATAACGTGCTTATGCTTATAAAGGATTTCATACTATGAATAATATATATAATATGAATTATGTGTTGATTATCCTTTTGAACTATAAGAATGTATGATCAAAGAAGCTAAGTTAAAAGAGTGTATATGCTGTTTTGAGAGCCTTTGTTACTATTAAGGTAGTCGATATACCATTTCTCGGCTTGGAAAAGGTAACACAACACCACTGTAATTGCGTCAAAGGATTAATAAAGTAAAGATCATCTTTTTTCAAGTAGGTTACTTGCTATAGGGTAAGCTTTGTCTATCCGCGGATCGACAATACTCAATAAAGAAACAGGTAGAAAAGAGAAGTTGATAGCGCAATTTGGTCATGTGCGTTATTGATACTTTAAAGCTTCCTTGTCTTACGTTCAAGATTAAGTGGTCAATACTCCTTCGACTATTTTGGAAGATCACATCTACAGAAAAATTGAGTCATATTGCAGAGGTCGGATAAAAAACATTGCTCAATGCTGGGAGTTCCTGGATTTGGGCTACTCAACCAACCAATCACAGTTTCAAACGGGAAATAAACTGGGGAAACCTTGTGCTCCCATTGTGTTCGTGATGAGGCTTAGCAGCCATAACATGACGATCGTTCAAGACAGAATAACAAGGAATTGACAGTGGGCTTGGTAAGTAGTAAACAATTAGTACAATAATGGCATGGGAATGGGATCGCTCTGGGTCTTTGTTAGTGGAATTGGCACATTTGGGGTCATGTAGAGTGTGAGCATTACCGCGTGTTCACGTTATTTCTTTTATTGTACTTGTGTTTCATGTCAACAGAACTGCAGATTAATTAAGCTGCCAAAACTACGATCAGCATTCTGAATGATCATAAAATAGCTGTATTAATCATCCATTCGCCCCTCAACTCGGCCAAACAGTGCTTTAGCATTTGTAATAGACTATTCGATATTGTCAAAAAGGTCATGTAGCGACTTCTAGTGCTACGTGTGTGCCTGTGTCGCTGCCATCTCTTTAAAGTATCTACACTCTTCCCATGGCAAAAAAGCGCCTAGTCTTTTGTAGTTAGGATTACAGCAAACTCAAACTCTGCCAGTATTTAAAAGGCTAAATGAGAGACTCAATTTATAGATTTGGTTGCAGTCTATTCCGTAGTTGCTACAGTAGACCTTGATTACCCTTTTGGTTCACAATTTATATTTCTCAAGTGTGACAATGAGAAAATGACAGTGGTTATTTTTTACGTGATGGACCAGAACAATAGGTGTGCTAATCGAGTAAAACAAAAAAGGACACTATTTAGTAAGAACTCATGACCATCATGGAAGGTTGTTCATGTCATCTTTCCATATATATCAACTAGATTGCATACAAACTGCATAATCCAAGAATAATAGCATTGGTGAAGTTTTATTTACTGATTATTTTCATTACTTGGAGCAACTGTAGTCTCTTGAGGTTCAGATGTGGTGACTTGATCATGATGTTCTTTTTCAATCGCAGTTTGAGGAGCAGGGTCATCTGTCGAGAGTTTTTCATGTTTACGCTCTTGATGATGCATTCTTGCTTCTTCTTCAGTCTGATCACAGCTGGTTAACTTGCGCTTTCTGCTACCAGGCATAATCAGTGGCTGCTGCTGCTCTTGTTGCTGTTGTTGCCCATCTCTTATAGGATAGAGATAGTAATAATCATCCACAATTCGCTCCAGAGAAGAATCCCAGACAGGCACATCAAACATCTCTTTAAAACGTGTACGGACAGGGTTCGTTTTCATTGTTTAATAAAAAAGGGGGAGAATAAGTCTCCTAAGATATGCAAATCATTCTACATGGTACATTCCTACAATTTTGTCTGGAAACGTAATCGAGGGCGCAAATGAAGATCCTCTGATGAGTATGCATCATGAGGCACAGTTTTGTAGCACAGAAAGATAAATTAGATGGTCATTAACCAATAGCCTGGGCAAGACTATTTCTTTGTACCATTGGCTTGATTTGGTAATGCATAAGGTGAGAAAAATATAACGTATGAAATCGCCACTTTTATCACATTACCTTCTTTTACCTCGTTTTTCTCACTCCACTTTTTCATCCTTTTCTTTTTTGTTTTATGGCCGAACAAGATTTCTTCGATGCTGGAATCAATACCTCATTCACATTTCAATATTCCATTGCCAACATGACAACCATACCTACTACTACAGGCAACAGCTTTCAAGTACAGAGAAAGGTAACTAGGAAACGAAATACGAAAATAATATAGCTCACCTATCCTAGTTCGATCCATCCATTCATCGATCTTATTATCTTCCGCCAATCAACAGTGACTATGCACTACAGCAAAGAGACTTTGATCAACAACAATGGAAAAATAACAACGTTTCACAAGTAGATTCAGCATTAACATGAATATAAACATGTATTTACCTTATTTCTATCTAGACACCTCAACATATCGTTTCCCCTGAAGCCATCAGAGAGGCTCAAAAGGAAGAATCAGAGGAACCTGATAGACCCTTTTCAAAATTCACTTCCTTTCTTGCACTAAAACAGCGCAGGGTGTCTCCTGAACCCAAATATATTTCATCCCCATCCTCGATTAAAGTCAATAGCGATGAGATTAGGATTGAAGAAGAATTGATACCTTATAGTAGTGAAGATGATGATATAAAAAAGCTCCCTAATTTATTCAATAATGACCTAAGATCTAAACTACTAGAGACATCATCCAGGATGACAGTAGCTGAAATAAGTAAAGATGTAGTAGGTGGTTGGTGGAAAACAATGCCTGATGTAAGAATATCTTGATTCACTTCATTCCTTGCTTATCCTTCATATACACAATATATACATTTCATAGGACCAACGGCAGTACTATATTAAGCAAGCTACCATGTTCAAAGAGGAACAAAAATATCCTGATTTTACTTACTCTCGGAAGTCTAAACCTGAAAAAAGACAGTTAGTGGATCCTGTTCTATCCCAGGAACGTTCTCAGCAGACAACACCAATCATCAGTGGGCCGTCCAAAAAGAGATCAAGAAAGTCTAACCTACCTGAAGGCCAGAAGGACCCTAGGGGACGTAAAAAGAAGAGGCATAGACATCCATTTGCACCAAAACATCCTATGTCGGCTTACCTTTACTACCTTGCTGATGTTTATCCCAAAGTGTCACAGAATTTCCCTGGATCTACTGTGGGGCCTATCAGTAAATCGATATCGGCCACTTGGCATGCCATGTCTGCAGAAGAAAGATTACCATGGAAACAAAAAGCAGAATCAGATAAAGCAAGATATGCTAGAGAAATGGAGGTTTATATGGCAAAAAATAAACTACAAGAACAACAACAGCAACAACAAGCGTCATTAAGTCATTCTATTGTACAGTAAAATAAACTTTATATCCCCCTTTTCTCTCGTCTTAGTGCATATAGAAATGCATTGGGCAAAAAATCCATTTTATAATCGACTTGCATTCGAACTAATGCAGCATGGATTCTTTTTATTTTAGCCATGACTTAGAGGCAGGATGATTAACTCGAGTAAGTCGCTGATCCATCTTTCCCTAACATTAGTCCATTCTTCATCCATGACGAGTGTATGTCTTTCTAAGTCAACTAATGCGCCTGCTAGATGCCTCTCTGATCGCGCACTGCTTACTAATGTTAGCCATGTCTCTCTTTCTTCGATCCATGCTTCCGATACGGCTGTCCAAAGTAAGGCCATCTCCAGCTGAACGAGTTGAAAGGCCACTTGATCAATGCTGTCTGGCTCTCTAGCCAACCATGCCTGTCTTTTGGATAACCATTTGGGTGATTTATGTCTGTTGTTAATGTGTGATTCATACAGTCTGATCTTGCTGTTGAGTAATTTAATGCTGCTCAGGACTGAAGTTTCGTATGAGGGTGGCGCTTCGTGAGATGTAGATGGTATAGAAAAGGCTGGTGGTGGACTATCGGATCGAATGATTTCATCCTCAGTTGTTGGGTTATCGTTATGTTCTTCTTCTTCATTATCTTCCTCAATATCTGCATCACCATGTTGTTGTATATCGATCAATTGCTGGTGATTATCTTCTATATGATCACCCCGAAGAGAATCATTGTTAAGACTATGTTGGCTACTCCTATTTCCATTACTGTCATTATTATTAATATTATTATTACTACTGCTGCTACTAGTACTGCTGCTGCTGTCACTACTGATAGCATTGCTCATGGTCATATTGTTTAGGCTTTCTTGATGTTGCTGAAGTAGTATTTTATCAAGTTTTTCTGATAATTGGTCCATCTTGATTTGCATTTCAATAGTTGTTTGCATAAGGGTATTAGTTGAATCATATTCGGGTACATGAATTTCCCAAATGTTTTCGATTGTTGAATCAGACACCAAGACTCTCTTGGGTATTATTTCCTGTAGATTGACATCAAGTTGAAATGGAATAAGTTTTGAACAAGACAAGAGAGCGGTTGCTTTTGGAAATATATCTTGAATATCACTAAAGAGGATGACTTTATCTTGATTTATCTTTCTGATGGGTATTTGGTAAAGTATGTTTTTATATTCTACAAGTTTATATAATGTCTCTTCCATTTTAAATATAGTAAAAAGAGAGAGAGAAAAAAAAGGGATATTTACATGACTTGTTTGCACTTTATTAGCACACTGATAAAAAAAAAATGATAATTTCAGACAACAAATAATAATAAAAGAGACAGCAAATAATGATAAAAGAGAGCCCACAAGCAAAAGAATGAATAAAGAAATGATTAGTAAATCAGTTATTTACATTGATATTAAATACTTACATTACAAAGAAGAGGATTTATAAGAGAAAAAGAATAGACATTTAAAAAAAATTATTAATATCTTACCCGAAGTGCATTAAATAGGGCTGGCGATAACCAGTCCAGAAAGAGTAAAGAAAGAAAGAAAGAAAGAAAAAAGAAAAAAAAAAAAAAGAGAGAGAGAGCGAGCAAGAAATAGATGGGACCAAAGTTTGGTAAGAACCAAAGTACCCCCAGATAGCACCTGTACTGTTTTGGTTTTATGACCTATAATACTACAAAGTCTCTAGCAACTTTTTCAGTTACGTGTTATTCATAAGAGTTGACCACATTTATCTTCTCTTCTCTCAAAAAGACAGAATTCTTTGTCTTTTTAATAATAAAGAAAGGATTGATAATCAACTAAAGCGTAACTGTTATTGATATTTTATTGTGTGCGCATAATTTATGAAAAATGTGTATTATAAACAAAAGTGCGTGATCTAGGATGGTTGCTCATATAATACATCACCATGTTTATCTATAGCCTTTTTAAAATATTTTGGAGGAATGGTTCCATCAATACCATCTGATAGAATAACATCATTTCTAGACTTGTAGAATTTGATTCCATCTAAAGTATGTTAATAAGCTCTCTTTATTATTACTATGATTATTATTACCTCTCATTGCTTTATCAGCATCAATAAAAATATATACTTCGCTTGACTTTCTTACACCACTTTTGACGTTAGGATCATTTGGTAATCCAATAGCAAAATGAATATGTATTCTATTCATTTTAGATAGCCCATCATTTTTGATTGATTCCCATGCTTTCATTGTTGTGCCATGGATAACAGGCGTAGTCACCTTGTCTAGTTTTTCTAATAACTCATCTGTATTGATCACGGGAATCGAATGACCTTGAGTGGCTCGAATATAATATACATCATTCTCTTCCTTCAACTCAAATCTCTTTTTATCATTATGATCAACCACGTATTGAATATCAGGATAGGTCACATCTTTGAATCGACGTAGCTTTAGCTATCATCCAGATAATTAATCATCATCATCACCATCATTATCAATACATAAAAAAAAGCTTACCAAATCATCAAGTTTTATAAACCCATCTGGAGCTATTTTCAAATTTTCTTTTAGTGCTCCGTGTCGAAGAACATAGGAAAGCTTTTTGGAGAGACTAGTAACTTTTTCTTCTGGCTGACTAGACATGGTAAACAAAGAAACGAGCAAGAGAAAGTGAGAAAAAGACCTGTCAAATATAAAAATTGAAGGCGGACTTTGATTTATGTTTGCATTTCATCGCTGCGTCGTCATACAGTGTATGGGTGATCAGTAAAAAAGTGTGCTTTTTGATATTTAGCAAGCTGGTGAGATTTATTTATTTCATCAAAGTACCATTTACAGAGCCTCCAGCGTCAATCGGCGGCTCTTGTATTAAGCGATTCAATGTCATTAAGTTTATCTTCCTTTATGTTTTACAACACCAGTCCAGAACTGTTCAGTGAGATTGAGTTCTGACGTAATAGAAGAACAATATACTTCGCCAATTGAACTTGAAGGCCATTATTTTTTTAACTATACATCTTGCTGTCCGTTTTATTTCATTCGTCTATTCTTAAATGAACATTACAAGGGATGCTGCCCTCTGTATGTATTTTTGTGAGGAATACACGGACGATTGTGTTAAAAAATGCAACGAGTAAAGGCAATGTCGAGACATGCTACAATACCTCTCCAAAGGAACCAATTGTTGTTTAAAGCCTCGAATTATTGATGATCCCTATACATACAGAACATACCGAGAGCCTCAAGAATTAAACTTAGTTGAAGAAGTCAGAAAAAGAAAGCAACTTATAATTTTGTTTTAGAAACAGATACACCAGAAAATAGGGCGCTTCTCTGGGACACTACCTATGTTGTCACTTTATATATTCATACCATCAAAGCGTCTACCTAACCTAAAGCTGCCCAGTTCACTCTCTTCGATACAAAATATGAATTCATCATAATTACACTTAAGGATATTGGTTCTTTGTTGATCAAACTGACGGCAAAAAATTAGAATAGATAATAGCACTTCTTTTTTAGCTCTTTCTCCTTCTTGAGGGGAAACAAACCAATATGATGAAAAGTTTTGTTGGGCGGTATCATAGGCAGTGGATAGAGGTAGCGCCCGTAGTATTAGTCTAACTTCTGGTGCATGTAGTGTTTCCATTTTTAAAAGCAAAGCCAGACAGAAATTCAAATAGTAGAAAAAAAAGCTTTATTTATTAGACGATACTTATCATGGTAAGCCCAAGTAATGGTATAAGCGAAATACATAAAGGTTCACGACAGACATGCTAGAATATTTCCAATTTGCTGATCATAATATTTGTTTGACTTCGATCAACTTTGCTAGGCTTTTGTCACGTTCCTATCTCATTAAAGATTTGTTGAAAGTATATCCTGTTATAAAGAAAATAGTCATTGAAAACTTTACTTATGATAACGAAATTCTTCTGGACTCTCAAATTCTGATGTCAGGTAGTCAGCTACTTCAAAAATATTACCGTAGAAAAAAGTTGATTCAACAATCAAAATAAGAGAATAACATAATGCATGCTTTTAATGAAAACAGCTAGGAGACTTGTGCTCGAATATCAAAACTGCCTTCCCGTAACGAGAAGCTTAGAAAAAATGGAGTAGCTCAGATAGGATAATGAAAGTATTCAAGGAAATTACAACGGAGGACTTCTCGATCTATATTCGACGTTCTCTTACCTTATTTGAACCGTGTTTGCATAAAGAACATAATCTGAAACATGACTGATCTCATTTCCCAAAAAAGGCGATCTGACTGATCTTGAAAATCGAAGACTCATCGCTCGGATCAACACCAATGCCTGCTTGCTTAATGCACGATTAATGCTCTATATGGACCGTTTTGGGGATCCCAGCAAGTACAATAGCCTGCTTGTCTTCTCCGCTCTTTTCCACAGCCATTTTCATCAATATTAACGGCCACATCACATCCGTTTATTTAAATGTGTAGTATCCACGCTACTATCCAGTGCTTAAATATAATATATAGTGTTGAACCTAATATTACTATAACATCTGTTACAGCTTAATCAAATATAGTTAACTAAGTTTAAATACATCAACTTTTTAATGTATAATTATAGGTTGTGCTATCATCTCTGTTCTCTTTATTTCGAATAAAGATACAACATAGTCTCATCGTATTTTTTACTTTGTTTAAATCTATCCAAAATTTAAATACAACAAGAAGCGTAGACTTGACCAAGATAATCCCAATATCGCTCCTGCTGTTTAATATCGTTTTCAACTCATTTCTTCGTGCCATCTCAGCAAACCCTGCTATCAAAGTTATCAATGGCTATCAAATCTCTTGGCCACACTTACTCGATGCTCTTGTCCGTCTGCCCCTTGAAGCTATAAAGATTCTAGCTTTGTTCCAATGATACTTTGGCGCTTTGAACTTACCTGATGATACGAATCATTACTGTTTGTTGGACGATGGTAAAAAAAAAAAAAAAAACGCGACACGTCAAGACGCGTGGCATCAACAAGTCACGTTACAAAAAAGTCAACAAAGGGGTTTTTCTTCTTTTGTCGGATTGAACTATGAGCGATGGTACCAAAATTGTATGCATCAGCTCCATGTAACTAAAATAGATATTATTAGACCTTCTTAAAGAGCTTCATGAGGAGATTAAGAAAGAACAGGAATCAGACATTACACCTGTCAAATCACAGACTATTGATATGGACTACCGAACAGGGTTTCGTTTAAAGTGTGTATAATACAAAAGTTGCCTTAAAGGAAGCTAACCTTTTAAAAAAGACGTCGCCTTGTATCAGAGATTAATTGTCAAAAAGGATTACAAAATGTTCGATTCATTCCCCTAAGTCAAGTTCATCCCTACATTGCAGAGTTTCATACTATAAGAGTGGGCATCAAGCCTTCAAAGGACTGGGCTACGACAGGCGTGATCGATCAATACTTTCCTCAAGACAGTTTTTGTGTTGTTAGGATAACCGATTTGAGAGGAGAGCATGTTCATGTTTATATCACTGGAAAAGCATACAAACAGTATGAACGTGCTATTGGTATGGGATCTATTTTGGTTCTGAAACGACCAGAATCTCTGTGTCCTCCAGATGTAAAGAAGAATGAATGAACCAAAGAGGCCTTTATTGATTTGTTTGATTAGACAGGAAAGGCTGCTGCGCTTCATGTTGATCAAGTACAACAAATGTGGGTAATGGGTCAAAGCTTAGACTTGAAGCAGTGTCAAGGATATACAAAAAAGGAACAAAGATGTCAGGAATGGATAGACATGTAAGGAGAAGGAAAATGGACAAGCTATTTGTAATATAGTAACATGCATGCATACAGACGCCAAGGGGAATACTGTAATGAACATTTAATGAAAATCTGCAGTTATTCTAAAAATGGTCGAATGGAATTAGCATCAGGGTAAATTTGACTTTACTCAGACTATGTATCAAATGCTAAGCATATTCATAGAGATACTGGCTTTGATATTCGATGGACAACAGTCATCAAAAAGTCTGACGGTTCAGTGTCATATCAAGCAATGAAAAAACCAGAACAGGTGCAAAGCAGTACTCAAAGTGCAAAAAAGGCTCTTGCGTACTATATCAGAGGAATAGGATTAGTCACTATCACAGGTGAACAGTTCAAGAAGAAACCAAAGAAAGAGAGTGACGGAATGGATAAGACAGCTATAGAGTAAGAGAAGAGAGAGGTAGATCACGTTGATTTTTAATTTAATTACCTTTTTATATATAGACAAATACTTAAAGGGAGATATGATCCTGGTGCACAAATGATTCGTAAATTAAAAGGAATTAAAGAAGAAGAGCCAGGTAGGTTCTGTTTAGTGATGTAATTGTCAATCATTAATATTATCAATAGAGCATTTGCTTTCTAAAGAAGCGCTAGTAAAGATGGGGATAGGTAATGGCACACCATTAACTAAAGAAGAAGAAGAGAAAAAGGTAAGGAAAATAAAGATGTGGTGTGTTTATAACACTATTTCATTATAGAAACGAACATTTGACGAATTGAAAAATGCAACCAAACGACAGGAAACCAAGAAAAAGCCTCGATACATAGAACTCTAATGTTGCATGATTCTATGACCAGTAAAAACCCAATGCTCCCTTTTTTAATCAACTGTTCAAATGGGTTCATAAAATAAAATAAATGTTCGCACCATAGCAAATTGCTCTTACAAATGAAGGCTTTATCCTTTCTCTTTGTTCTTTCTTGATGCTCGATTTATTCTTCTGATTTATCTTGTTTCTTAGGAGAGCAATCCTTCCTTTACCAGCATCATCGATTCAACAATTACATGGATGTGCACGACATCTGCGGTTTCTTCGACCAGCAAGAACCCCCTTATAAGTACAGGCATATATATGCCAATTTCATGCAGCCCCATTCTGAAGAGGGAGCACCGGAAGCCTATTAAAGCAAGACAATGAGTATAAATGAACCAATGGATTAAAATGTAATGGTGCCTTCACATAACATGCCGAAGGACATATGGCCTCCGATTCCCAAAAACAGCTGTCTGTCCAAGGACGACCTTATCTGCTTTAGCAGCTTGGCAAAATCTTCTTCTTTATACTTGCTTGTTGTATATGGTCGCTTTACCTCAATAAAAAAGAAGTATGTGTTTTTGCCTTTTGTTTGGAGGCCCAGAAAAAGGTTGGATTTCTTCTATTACTTGCTGTTTCGTTTATTTTATATATGAGCGTGACAACATAAGTCAGTATACATAAAGCAAAAGAATGGTAGTAGCACTCCCATCCCATAGACTGCGTCTTTCTCGCAACCATCAAGAAATATCTTTGAGAAGACGGGCATGGTATACTTGCTTGTAAATATGGCTTCTGAATTCTTACTGATAATTGTCTTGTCCTTCATGAAATGCTTACAAAGGTCATAAATGGTCTTGTCCATCCTATCCTTGACCACAAAGTCTTATTCTTCGAAATCTCCCTTTTGTTTGTCAAAATCACTATTTATGTTTCATTAACGCATACTTTATTTAAATTACATAAGCAATAGCCATACAAAGAAGCTTGGCTTTATTCCATCAAAGTGGCTTGTTAAAACCTTACCTTCTTCGGCTCTTAGATACTTCGTAAATCACCTGCTCAAGCCCGTTCACAGGAAAAATGAAGGATGGTTCTTGGAGCACTCCCTCGCTTAACCAAATCTAAAAGAGTAACGTTAGCGATATAGACGAATGATGGCAAAAAATAATTAAAGATAACCCTCTATATAGCTTTTTTACTAAGGGCAAGACGAAAAAAAAAGAAAGCTCATTATTACAGAAAGCATCATTTTATATGCATGCAGGATTATTACGTGGTCAATCAGAATTGAGCACATGCTAGTAGTTTGTTTTGGTAGTGTGCCAGGAACCTCCCTTTCAAACACTTTTGTTTGCAGTTGGTGTGCTTTGGGAATTACGACTTCAGGTTTTCGTTTTGCTTTGAAGAATCCAACGATATACTCCTGTTCGGTGATTGGTATCTCGTCCAGGTGTAGTATTTTGTAAGCAGAAGCAACGGCGAATCTTAACCTGTTGAGATAACGATTTGCGTAATGCTTGTCACCAAGAATTTGAGCAATCGTTGTGTATTGTAGTCTGCTGGAAATTGTAGAGGATCATCGTCCTTGCGCCGACTTGTCCATCTTTGCCAATCATTGCTATAGATTTTGTGAGTTATGCTCCTGCGTGTGAGCATCAGGAAATCTAGAGCTTGGTTACCTAATGAATTAGTTGTCTCTCTTTTTTCCTGATAAGTTCCATACGACCATCATCCGTCTGCTTATCTTAAAATCCGGTTTGTATTTCAGTACTGAGTCGGCCAATAGACTGCTCGGTGTATCTTTTGGTGTTTGATTTGTTGAAGTACTCGTGGTATGAATCTCCTTGTGGGAGATCAATACAAACCTCCCTTTAGCCAGTTTTGGTGAAGCATATCTATCTTGAATGATCCGCCAAAGCCGATGATTTTGTTGAAAATTTTTGTTGGCATTGTCGTTTCTTGTAGAAATTTTGTTTTCGTTGTATGTTATTGTCGACTTGGTTAATCTGATCGAATGTTTTCTTTTCCTGGGATATGTTGATATTTTACTTTTATATTGTATTGGTTGCAAACTTTTTGCATTGTTACGGTCAAGTCTTGAAGTATGCAGGATGCTGAACCCGATCTTCCACTGTATTTTAAAGCTGCTATATTACCCGTAGATATCTTTACCTTTGCACTTGCGTGAAGACGGAAGGCGAAGAGGATTGTTTTTAATCCTCGTGCATTGACTGAAAGCTTGCTTTCTTGTGATGTCTAAGGTCCTGTCGCCTTTTCTATGATTGAATTTTCCCTCATCCCAAGTCTGCCGCGTCGATGTGAATAATCAGCTGAGGTGCCTTTTTTGTCCTCTATATTAGTAATTCACTCCGTTATATTTATCCGTCTTATACTAATAGTCATCATGTGAGATTAGTCCATTACTATTATTATTTAAATTCAATCTACATTTAGCATTGTGCTTGCATTAATTTAATTTGTCACATGTCGGATAGTAAACTACTGTACTAAACTCTGTTTTATTTTAATGTTGTCAGCGTCTTGTCTCTCATGGTTCAAGAGTCTCCTTATTATAGTTCAAATGCATATAGGGACTACTAATATCTCATCAGTTACTTAATTAAGAGCAATAAAGCGCTGCTCTTGGAGTATGTTACCAATTTGGAGCCCGGGTTGAAGGCAACAATGACTATTATTAGGAAACTGTAGTAACCTTACACACATAAAATACATATACGTATATATATATATAGATATAGATATAGGATTGCTTTTATTTTGTCTTTATCTGTCTACTATGTTTAAGGCGCCCATTCTATACCTCTTTATGCTTGTAGCCTACATTCTGATCTTAAAGTTTGAATGTGTTCATGCAGATCCAAGCTGTAGCAAGAATGCAGAAACGGTTGTTTGTGTTAACTCTGTGGATGGAACAAATGTAAGAGCAAAAGTATATGTTGTAGCCGGAAAAGATGGAAATTCTATCCCTGAATATACATTAAAAGTGGCAATGGACAAGTTTATGGGAGGAACCTGCACTGTTGATAAAAATTCAGGATATATGCTTTGCGTAACCAGAGATCAATGGAGATTCTCTAACTGGTCTGGATACATTGACATAGAGTTTGCTTGCACTAACAAGCTATACAAAGCATATGGAGCAGACTGGAAATCAAGAGATTATTATTGTAGAAATAGATAAAAAAGGAAACACTATTTACTACCATTTGAAATATAAACAACTGCTCTTGACCAATAAAAGAATAGCCCAGCTTTACTGTACCATAGCAAATTGTTCTTATTTAAATTTTGCGACAAACGAAGGCTTTATCCTTTCTCTTTGTTCTTCCTTGATGCTCGACTTGTTCTTCTGATTTATCTTTTTAGGAGAGTCAGCTCTTCCTGTTGGAGATAGTAATATAGGGTTGCCATGTCAGATTTGTTTGAATCCTAGAATATAGTACTTTCGTAAAGCGCTCCAAATGATACAGGAACTTCGGTCCGCAAAAATAATTAGCTGTCCAAGGACGACTTCATCTGCTTCAGCAGCTTGGTGAAGTCTTCCTCTTATTGATACTTGTTTACTGTATTTGGGCGTTTTACCTCAATAAAAAAGAGATTCGTGTTTTTGCCTTTTATTTGATGGTCAGCAAAAAGTCGAGTTTCTTCCAGTTGCTTGTTGCTACATCTATCCCATTTGTGAGTGATAGTATAAATTTATTATTCGAGTGGAAAATAGAAGAAACTCAGCCTGCTAGTGTTTTTGTAAAATTAATGGTTCAATTCTTGCAGTAAAAGAAGGACGTTTTTATTAGAATCAATAAATCGAACTATTTGACTGTATAACAAGTTGTATTCCAAGGAGCAAAAGAGCTGTGATTTAATTTAATGCACAGACGATACGTAGTAGGCTATATGAGAGTGACAACATAAGTCAGTATACATAAAGCAAAAGAATGGTAGTAGCACTCCCATCCCATAGACTGCGTCTTTCTCGCAACCATCAAGAAATATCTTTGAGAAGACGGGCATGGTATACTTGCTTGTAAATATGGCTTCTGAATTCTTACTGATAATTGTCTTGTCCTTCATGAAATGCTTACAAAGGTCATAAATGGTCTTGTCCATCCTATCCTTGACCACAAAGTCTTATTCTTCGAAATCTCCCTTTTGTTTGTCAAAATCACTATTTATGTTTCATTAACGCATACTTTATTTAAATTACATAAGCAATAGCCATACAAAGAAGCTTGGCTTCATCCGAAGACCTAGGAAAGAGAACCTTCATTCCCTCAACATAACTTGTCAGAGCCTTGCCTTCTTCGGCTCTTTGGTACTGTGTGATGCACCTCTCTTGTTCGACTCTGTTAAAAGGAGAAATAAAAGACAATGATCTAATTCAATTTAAATTAGTAAACGAAACATTCGCTTGGGTAATTAAGATATTCCAGGAGCGCGTGATGAAATAATAGTGATGCATAAATGCTTCTCCTGCAACAGCTGGCTTCCTTTTTCAGGATATGGCTCTATTATTGGCTAAGAATTGACATATGCTCCTATTGGCTGGCATTTTAGTCTATTAAAGGTTCACTGTAGTTTTCTCTTTCTTTTCTACAAGTTACTTATTTGATTTTTTTATTTTTATTATTACTACTACTATTTTACGTATGAATAGGTACTTGGAATATATTTTACCGTTTATGATGTCTTAATAATGCGTAAATTAGACTTGGTTACGACTTGCATTCGCGCATTCTATCAAGTCTTGCAAGTGTATTAGCTGACCCCAAAGCTAATTCGACACAAGAAGAAGTTGAGAGACTTGTCTCAAAATGTCCACATGTATCAATTATTCCATTAGAAAATACCGAAATTATATCAACTTTAGAAGAAAGTAGACAAGTGTACATGGTAATATAGCTTTAGCTCATTTGTAACACAAATTGAAAGAATTGATCATTTTAAAAGACCTACCGCTGTCAAAATGCATTGGACGCTTTAGCAAAGTACGTAGTTCATGCCTGCGAACGAATACAAATCGAGCTCTTGCCTCTGTTGCTGAGCTATCTGAAGACCTTACCAAGCTTTCGGTGGGATAGTATTCTCCTTTCTAATGGTAAAAAGATCGTCCGAGTACATGCTGTAGTCACTCAATATATAAATATATATTTATAAACTAGGACCAACGCCTCCTGATAGCACTACCTTCAGTTTAGTATCTGGTTTGCTATGTATTGCAGATAAACATTCAGATTATAGTGACATAATATATGAAACACTGTGGAACTATGGAAGGTACATCATACAGCTAATGGAAACATGCAGCAGTAAGTCATAGCTATCAGTTTATGTTGAAATAATATGTCTAAGGGTATTTTATCTAGAGGAATACATCATCTACTTCATTTTACCCTCGTTGGCTGGTCTTGCGCGTGCCTTACAGGTCTCGCCTTTTCTTTATAGACCATGTCATCTTCAAGCTTTATGCGACAATATACAACCATTGATAGTAGACCAAACACTAGAGGCGATCAATCATGCTATTGATGTCTGTCTCCGAGAGCGTGACGCCAATGACTATAGTCGACAGGTTCTGGGGCACTATTGGGAGAACGGAATTCCTCTCAGTTCGAATCGTATTATTCATGATCTACTCGTCATTCTACGTAACGTGATAGCTAGAGTCATCACTGCAGCAAAGCCAGGCGAAGATGATCAAGAAATGAGCACTTTAGCTTTTCAACCAGGCACATTGCATCTGACAAGCAATATTGAGTCAGCTTGGACTCAGTTGATGAAAAAAACAGCTCACACTATTCAAAGCTTGAATCGTTCAGAAGGAGAACAGAATCTAAGAATAGAAAAGACATTGAGAGGAATATACGTAATGAGCTTGGGTTATTTTGATGATATCAGAAAATATGCAGAACGACGAGAGACTGAAGGAAAGACATGGTCTCGGGATTCTTATATGAATGAAATTATGGGAACAAGCTTGGTAAAGAGCTTGACTATTTGATAACGTCCTTATGCTAAGTATTTTTTTTTAGCAAGTGGCTGCTCTAGCTTCTGTCTACATGCATGAAGTAGACGATATATTGACAAACTATATCAATGAATGTCTTTTCAAGGGCCCAAGTTTATCCAACGCATGGATTTATAACGCATCCTTTGATGCAGCTGCACTATTAGCTATAAAGTATGGTCTACTCGTTTGAAATCATTGTCATTATGCTAAAGTAATTTTAGTTTTCCAAATCTCAGTAATAATATGATAAATATATTTTGTCGATTCTTGGCTACACCTTCTCTTGCACCTGACAAACCTACGACAAACTCTAGAGAGGAGACATCGATTCAAAAGTTTACCATCACGCGGCTTGCCCAATGCGTTCAGGTATGTAGTGGCACAGAAAGCAAGATGTATCTTGACGCGAATCCTTCTATTTAGACGTTAAATCCAGATCACAGATTCAAAGTGGCCATGTCTACAATGTATTCCTTGTTGAATGGGATACCACGATACGCTGAGGCAGATCCAGCAGAACATATTCAAAGCAATGCTAATAATCAGACGAATTCTGAACAATTGAGTGAATCACAAAGAGAAGAGATTTGCATCAGTGCTCTCTCTGCTATTGTTGGTGTAGCAGTCTATCTACAAGACGAAGAGGTAGGATGCTTATATATATGTCTAATGAGAAACCTTTTAACACTGTCTTAGATATCACGACAAGCATGTTCAATGCTAGCATCTCGTCGCAAATCACTTTCCTATATTGCAAGTGCAACCCTGACCAGAAAATTGGTTGACCTCGCCATTGTTAGTCCCTCAAGTGTATTTCGAGACATCATTAATCTATTTTCTGCTTTGAATCATGATTATCTATCAATGGATAACAAACAATTGACTTATGGAGTATGTACTTTACCTATTATTCTTACCGAATATCACTAATCATCATTCTTTAGGTTATAAATGCTCAATTAATCCTTGCTCAAAAGATAGAAGCGAGACCAGAGTTATATGAAACTTATTTACACAACTTGTTGACCCTCTTCGTCGAGAATGCAAATACTGTTCAACGCATGATAACAAGAAACAAAAAAGAATCCGAAATGCCTTGGCTCTCCAAGTTGGGCAAGCTTCTACCTGTCATCCGAGCACTATTGGAACATGATGACTTTAATCCCCACTTGTCTCCAAGCGAAGATATCACGACCTTATACCGTAACATGTGGTTTCACTGCGTTCTGTTTGGTTTTGTTACAGAGTCTATCTGGATACGTGAATGGTATGATTCTATGCTTTATATCGCTCAAAAGACACCTGTGCTTGTGATTGAAAGCGCCACAGACTACTTGGAAAGTGATCTTGAGTATAACACAATGCTTCGTGGTGGCAACATGGCAGATAGAGATATCAGCTTGATGAGACAAAAACTAACGACTTATTTGCCTTCAATGGCCTATGACGCCAAAAATTATTCCTTTGCTCAAGTCGTCTTTGCACTCACCGTCTATCACGTCGAAATGATGCGGAGTAAGATGGGTGATTGTAGCTTTATCTTGCGTTACTTTATGAACGACGGACTTACCAACAGTACGATGGCAAACTGTCTAGAGACGATTACAGATCGTGTGATAACTGCTTATATCCGTGATGCTTCTCAAAAGGCAGCATCTCAGGCACTTGATGACGAGCTCCGTAGTCAAATGAGAAATATACTTCAGCTTTGTTGTCATCGTCTTGCTAAAGTTCATGCGTTGGCTATAAAGCTTTCCGACCGAATCGTGACCAACTTCCCCCAAGTATTTGTAGACAAGCATTTGGTTACGCTCTTGCTTGAGCTGGTTCAACTGCTATGGAGAAGCTGTGAGGCGGAATACCGAGAAGAATACTCCCCTATATTTCACTTCACTTCTGAACGTATCAATGTGACGATTGAAATTGGCGATTCATTTACTTACAGAAAGGATATCTGTTCTCATGTTTATGAAAATGCTAAAAGATGGTTATTGACCTCGACAGATCGATGTCCTATGGAAATGAGCGGACTATTGCATGATTATCTTGTAGAATATGAGCGCTATGGATCTGGAGAGAATAGTGACATTACTCATCTAGGAAGAATACTGGCTCTTGAAGTAGGAAAGGCTGCAACCAAGAACGAAATACCTGTCAACTTTGTACCAAAGATACGCAATATACACCTGGATAGCTCTTCTGCTTTCATAGATGGCGTCTCAACAAGAAGATACTATACAGGTGAAGTGAAAGGACTTGATTATGTTGCAAGTTTATCGGATGATAGAGAAGAGAAACAGCAAGGCTCTACTCTTTTTGAACAAGTCCCTATTATGCTGTCAACATTAGATAGTTTGCTACAAGAGACAAAAGATCAACACAAAAAGATACCCATCGATCGTTTACGACGAACCATGCTGCAGGCAGCCAGCTTTGTTGTTTTATTGCCCTCAGTACACCCTGATTTAATACGCTATCTTGTTAGTATTCCCGTTCGTATATTCACACCCGAGTCAATAGAAATTGGCATAGACGTATGGAGTTGGTTGTTGATTGAACGACCCGATATTGAAGAATGCTTGATGATAGAGATTGCAAATATGTGGACATGGGCACAACGACACAGAAAGGGCTTATTTTGTCCAATGATTAATGCTAAGCATCCGTTTATGGGTACAATGACATATGCTCCCTCTGACAAGTCCATCATTGATAAGAACAATCGTGCTGTGACACTCTTGTTTGCTCCACATGTTGCTTGGATCAAATTTTTAACAGGCAGATTCTACGCTCTCCGTCACCGTAGTAAACAGTTGACACGAATCTTTGTCTCTCTCTTGAGTGATACCTTCCGCAACTCTCACTTGATGAGCACGCACCCATTTGCTCGTCAACCCCGATTTCGACTGCTGTATCTTGGAATCAAAGTGTTGCAATCGACTCAGATGGAAGCACTTTCAGAATGTCAATTTAGAGATCTTGTCTACAATTCTGCGTTCGATTGGTTCTCATCGCCGCCAAAATGGCATTATGGATCCCGCAAGAGTTTTGCACTAGCAGAACATAAGGCACTATCAGATTTTTATCATATACTGACAAATGACACGCCACGTCTAGTAGATTTGCTCACATCTGTTACACCTTCTCCAAACAAGGGTACCAAGACGCCCGAATATTACACCCTTTTTAAGAATAAGACTAAAGAAGATATCCTTCGTGAACATAAATTAGCAAAGCGTTTGCTACTACTGCTTATGGACAGCGAGCTATCACGGCTCTCTGTTTGGTGTAATCCCCTGAATGCGGTTGGGCCTGGTTATATTGCAAATTATTCTGGCAATATCGAAAAGTCAATTACGACAGATGAAGGATGGAAGGATATAGTGAGATTTGCCTGGCAAATATCGCCCAAGGTAGCTGTCCAAATGGCAGCACGTTTTGCACAACCTGTTGTTCAAAGAGAGCTACACATCTTGATCGCGAACAATACAATGGATGTCATTGATGTACCTGAGGCACTTGAAATCTTGCTAGGCGAGAAAGTGCACGCTAATTCTAAGCTTGACTTAAGATATTTGAAATACTGGACCGCTGTTCCTGCTATTACTGCTACTACTTACTTTATGCCTGCTTTTGGAAATCATCCTTTCCTACTACAGTATGCCATGCGAACACTTGAATACTATCCTGTAGATACCGTCTTTTTCTATGTACCACAAATAGTCCAAGCTTTGAGATATGATGAATATGGCTACGTTGAACGGTATATCATGGAAGCCGGGCAAATTTCTCAACTGTTTGCTCATCAAATCATTTGGAACATGAGTGCCAACTTTTACGTTGATGCTGACAAGGATTGCACAAAGGTAAGCTTTACTCTAAACATGTAGGCATGTACTAATTGATTTTTTTTTTTTCTAACAAAGCCTGATACTTTAAAGCCAGCACTCGAAAGAATTATCAGCAACTTGGTAGCTTCTTTTACTGGAGCAGATAGAGAATTTTATGAACGAGAATTCAAGTTTTTCAAAGAGATCACTGCTATATCTGGCTACCTGAAAGAATATATCAAATACGGTCAAAACGAAAAGAAGCCTATGCAAAAGGTACTTATAAGATTCTGTACAAGTCCTTTGATTAACAAGGAATTATTTAGAAACGCTTGGATGAAGAGTTGGCCAAAATCAAGGTTGATGTCGGCGTCTACCTTCCTAGTAATCCTGATGGTCATGTTGTAGACATCAATCGTACATCAGGTAAACCTCTTCAAAGCCATGCAAAGGCACCCTTTATGGCAACCTTCAAAATTGAAAAAGAAAAAACTGGAAAGGATGGCTTGGATGAAAACATATTTAAAAATGACAATGAATACAATGATGAAGAGAACACAACAATCACACTTTGGCAAAGTGCTATTTTCAAAGTAGGCGATGACTGCCGACAGGATGTCTTGGCGTTACAGCTGATTGCTGTTTTCAAAAACATCTTTACGAGCGTTGGATTAGACCTTTATGTATTTCCTTATCGTGTGGTTGCTACGGCTCCAGGACGTGGTGTCATTGATGTCATTCCAAGATCAATCTCTCGAGATCAACTTGGTCGTGAAAAGGTGAATAGTATGTATGACTACTTTGTAGCCAAGTACGGTGGCCCTAGTACAATTGCATTTCAAAGGGCACGTACAAACTTTGTTCAGAGCGCAGCAGCTTATTCACTTATCTCGTATCTGCTTCAAATCAAGGATCGCCACAACGGTAACATCATGCTGGATGATGATGGTCATTTGGTACATATCGACTTTGGTTTTATCTTTGATATTGCACCAGGTGGCATCACGTTTGAGAGCTCACCATTCAAGTTGACAACTGAAATGGTTCAATTAATGGGTGGAAGTTCAGAACAGCAGGCATTCAAACACTTTTCGGAACTTGTTATCAAGGGCTATCTAGCATGTCGACCTTATGCCGATCAAATCATGCATCTTGTTACTCTCATGCTTCAGTCAGGATTGCCTTGTTTCAAGGGTGATACGATTAAGCGAATGCGTTATAGATTTCAAACAGACAAGTCAGATAGAGCTGCTGCAGATTTTATGATACAGAGAATAAAGGATTCTTTTGAAAATCAAAGGACAGTCTTGTATGACTACTTTCAAAAGATCACAAATGGTAAGTTCTATAACACATACTTGTTTCTCCGTATTAAGATTAAAACATAGGCATTCCTTATTAAACCACTCGCTTTTATTTAATCATTTGATTGTTTTCAATAAAAGAGTCTTGCATTTATTCATTAAATAAACTAGTTAATTTACAAAATCTTCATAATCATCCATGACATTCATTGATTCAATGTTTATATCTTGCGTATACACTTGTGCATCCAACTGTGATTCAGGCTTATAAAGGCAAGAGTATTCGGGCAAATGATCAGGCATCACGCCAGGCGTATATGAATAGTTGTAAGTCTGTTCATGAAGTTCCCAAATACCACGACGCAACAAAGGCGCGTCATTCAAGGGTTCGTTGAATTCACTGTCTTTGTCTGCAACCGCTGGATCACTTAGAGGTTGTGAGTCCAAAGTGGTCACTTCAACATATATTGTGTAGCTGCGCATATCATTGACAATACAACGCATCCATCCACGAATATTTTGACCGGCATTCACAGCCAATGGTTCCTTGAATAAAAAGCGGACTTGTTGCCAATGTGTTCGTTCAGCTGCAGGGCCTGTTGACATTTCAACGGTGGTACCAGAGTCGGTATCTTCTGGCTGGTCATAGGGAGGTGGGGCAAACACAAGGTCAAACCACCCGGCAATACCATGCATCAATCCAGTGTATTGTGCTCTCCAGGTAAATGGCATGGTGATGTCCTGCAGTTCCTTGAGCGTGACAGTGGAAAAATCGACTGGGAAGGTATCAAAGACGGTGGGAGTAGTGATCAAGCTGCGAGGGTCAAAGTGACCAACGACAGGCATTCCAAACATTTCATCACGAGCGTCTTTGTACAATGCACTTAGATCGATTCCATAAAATGACTGCTGCTCCCTGAAAAGGAACGGTGTGATTAATACAATAATTTCAGTCACTCCCGCAATGATGATGTATACCAGAAACGAGCCTTTCCCATTGTTTCACTCCACAAGACCGCATCAGTAAATGGCGCAAGAAATATATTGCCCTTTGAAGGAAGTAATGCGCCCCCTGGTTTGAGATAATGATCTCTTGCATAAATATAACTTTCCAGCTGAAATACAATAATGAATAATTAATCAGCATACAAATTTAATATTTTACCATTCTTTCGTGGAATAAGAGAACACCGATAGGCTCAGAAATGATTGTGTCAACCTTGGGGATAGGCAAATCAGGAGTTTCTATCTTGGCTACATCAAGAAGCGGATTAATGCATAAAAATCAAACGTGTCACATAATGTTTACCATTCACAACTTCAACTTTATCCTTCAAGAACTCATTTTTGCCTTCCTCTGAAGCAGCAGAAACGAGTTTTTTCATTTTACTGGCCATAGCTGAAGCCTCAACAGCATACACTTTCTCTGCCCCAGCTTGTACAGCAAAATAAGACAATATACCCGAACCAGCTCCAACGTCCAATACTTTCTTATCTTTGAAACATTTAGGTCCGTTCAATAAGATGGCTGAACGATAAGTTGAAGTACGAACGGTATCTTGAAGCATGTTTTGCTGTAGTAAGACGCGATGAGTGCTTTGCCTCCAAAAAAAGATTATAAATGTACCTGATGCTGAAGCATAGCATAATAGCTAAAATACTGTGGATCTCTATGCTCTACTCCTGGGACTTCGGAACTCATGTTGGGCCAAACCAAGTTTGATGAACAAGGAAAAAAAAGAATTAAAAAAAAAAGTTTGTCACAAGCATGCATCATCTTATTAGCGGAAGTGATTTCTTACGGCGACTGTCAAAAATTTTATGCGATCAAACACACAATTTTAATAACAAACAAATAAAAAAATAAAATAAAATGTAAAGTAGCTAAACTTTACCAGTAATAAAGGGGTGAGACAGAGCCTCTTTTGGTGTCAATCGTTTATCTGGACTTAATGCTAAGCATTTATCAAGCAGGTCAATAAACGCTTGAACAAGCCTATTTTCCTCATCTGAGTTGGTTGTAGAAGCAGCCATGATACGTGATTTAAGATCTCTGGTCGGTTTGATAAATGTCATCTTCTTTACCATTTCATTTTTGCTGACCTTGTCGATCTCGTGCGACAAAAAACTGTAATCTTCATCAAAGTGATTAGACGCGAATTGTGCCTTTCGCAGTAATTTGTTAGGGAAACGTCCTTTAAGCTCCATAATATGCTTCAACATTTGGTTATTGTTTCTTCCAGGAAACAAGATTTTCCCAGTAAATAGTTCATAAAGTGTGCATCCAACAGACCAAACATCTATTCCATAATCATAGGTCAACCCGAGCATAATTTCAGGAGCTCGGTAGAAGCGAGATACCAGATAGGGAGTTATACCATTATCAGTTACATCTGAAGCAGAGCCTAGATCACACAATTTAAGTGTGTTTCTTGATTCAGACACCAGAATGTTATCAGGTTTAATATCTGCATGAATAATGCGACATTTTTGTAAAAGCGATAGACTTAGGAATAACTGTTGCGCATAGACACGTACAGCTTTGATGTTGATACCTACGTTCTTGCCGTATTTTTTAAGTACATCACGTAAGTTCATACTATAAAAAAGGAGGTTAGCAGTGTGATCATATAAAATGAATTGAGAACTTTACCTTAACGTCTCAAAGACCAAGCATAGATGGTTTCTGTGTTCAAAATGTCTTTTTAGACGAATAACATGTTTTTTGTTATCTGGATCAGCTTCCATGAGCTTTTTAAGAAAGGTTACTTCTTTTTGTCCCGATTTATACATTGTTTCATTACTGCGAATCAGCTTAATGGCTACTTCCTCATTTGTCTTTTCGTCTTTTGCACGAACAACTGAACTGTATACACCGCGTCCCAAATTAGTCAAGACTCTGTATCTCCCATCCAATACTTCTCCTATTCGCGTGGCTAAATAGAATATAAGTTATAGATTCAAATTCCTAAATAGACTACTTACAATAATATCCTTCAGCGTCATCCCAATTATCTGTCAAGCTTGGATTAGCTGCTGCTGCCACGTTCGATAACAACGCGTTCTGTCCTGTTTTAATATGACTAGTAGCAGTAAACATATCTAAGTTATCAGAAAACATGTCAATTTCGGTCATTTGATTATTAACAGATGGTTTCTCTAACTTTTCTGTGTAGTCTGAAGCAAGCATATCTGCCTGACTGTCAACTCCTTCGGTTATTTTTTCCTGATGATCTTTCATTTTTAAGAGATCAGCTTCCGAAGATGTATGATGTAGATCACGGATATGATCCATAGAGGGATCATAATCAGCTGCAGACATATCATTGGGTGACTCTGTATTGTCCACAGTCTGTTCGTCAGGTTTAGTCTCGACAAGTGTAGTGGTTGTATGATTGACATCAGGTTTAGCTTCGACAGTAGTAGTGGTAGTGGTACCAACTTCAGATACATTATTTACATTGTTATCTGGTGTGGCATGCTGTATAGGGGAAGATGTGCTTGCTTCTAAAGGAGGAAATGTTATCTATCAGCCAATGAAAAGGGAATGATAAGAGTAAACATACCTGGAGTAGAGGTTTCTTTATATTTACTCAAGATGGCTAATCTTCGCTTTCTTCTTTCTTCAATCAATCTGTCTTCTTCCTTTTGCTTTTCTTCTTCATCTTTAATTTCAATATTTGGAGGAATTGCTTCCTCTTCCTTTTCTTCATTTCTAATAATACATTGTTAGTTTGATCTACTATAATAATTAAAAGGAAAAAACACTTGCTTTTTCAGTGATTCTGTAGTAGTTTGGTCCTTTTTAACATCTTTCTTTTGTATTTCTTCTTTGGATTGTTGAACTCTGCTTTCTTTTCTATACTCTTCTCTACGTTTGGGCTCAGGGCTATGGTCATGTCTACGCCTGTCTTCTCTATGATGATCGTCTCTTCTTTTCTCGTCTCTACCACGATTTTCATATCTGTTTCGTTCATATCTGTATCTATCTTCTCTACTTGCGTGTCTTGAAGGAGACCGACGAGAGTATCTACTTTCATAGTCTCGTGAATGTCTCCTTCTAGGAGAAGGTGATCGACTATGATGCCGCTTAGGACTGTGTCTTCTTGCTAATCTTTCATATTCGGCAAATGGATCCTCTCCACGACTCTTTTTGTAGTGTCTTTCGTAATAGGCATCATTAGAGCGTTTTCTATTGGATGCTTCCAAATAGGCGTTAATTTCGCCTTCTTCAACATCAGTGTGTTCTGCTGGGGCCATTACGTATATTTCTACTAAATAAAAAATTGGGAAGAGAAAAAGAATAAAATTTACAAGTGCAGCCATTTGTAACATTTTGAGCCTCCGCGGGAATTTAAAATTAGAATAAATAAATAACATTTCTTTGTCTCTTTCTTCTTTAAAGGATAACGTAACGCTGTACATTGAAAAGGTTTATTCACAATATTACAGATAGTGTCTGTAGTATTAGCCTTCTCGTGAATTTTCTTCGTGCGCGTAGTGTACACCATAGTTTTAATTGAATCAACGCGGATGGGTGCATCTTTGACGATGAAAATAATGAGTTGCTCGTTCTTGAAACCTCCGGAAAGTTAATGCTGAGCGAAAAGTGAAGTATGGTTATGACCATGTCACATGTATGTTTAGTATGTTGACTATGTTTAACATTGCGTTCAAGAGGTGCTTTTTTGTCATAAAGGAAACATTAATCAAATTGTAAGTTCCCTATCTGCATGCAATGGGTAGGTGATTTTATTTGTCATCTGATTCTAATCAGTAACCTCATCTAATCGTCATTAATAGGGGATTCGCTCCATTTGTGAGTGTTGGAGCTTTGCTCCAATAAATTGTATATCTCAAACAAGGCATTCAAATGTAAAATACAAGAAATAATGAAAGATATCAAGAGTATTCTTACCATGGGCAATTTACTTTGGTGTTTAAAGGTATGTCTAACTAATATTATAAAGTATATCGAAAAATCAAGGAGTTAACTTTTTGATAAAGTTGGAACGTACCAACAATGTTTTAAAGGCAATGAAAGAAGAGCATGAAAGCTATAAAGTTGAAAGAATGCTCAACGATGATGAATCACGCTGCTCATTACTTGAGATGGTCAACATTGATATCCAAAAGCCAGTAAAGGGCGAAGGATATGGTATCTTGTTGCCAGAGGGAAAAAAAAAAAAAGGATGTTATTGCTCTATGCGATTCACTGGCATCAAAATTCAAGTGATGCTGTAAATAAAAAAATAAATAGAGGAGAGATAATAAATGCATTATAATGGGCGTTGAGATAGCTAGTCTAGCAATTCTGTATCATCTTTGCGACAATTGATTTCTGGTTTTGGCGACCCCAGCACTTTCTTACCTGCACACGCTGTTCATGGTGAATTTAATGCGGACAATCCGATGTCAATGATATTTGTGATCTTTTGTATGAGGCTTAATTTCTATCAGCTTTATTAAATTATGTAAGACGAACGCACAATATCAAAGTACTTTTGGATACTTTGAATACTTGTCTTAATTACTCTATCACGTGGTTCAATACAACTGAAGGGTTCACATCAGTGCACTCACAAATAACTTTTTTGTGCTCTTCATTGAAAATGCGTGGACGACCAGTCCTTCGCCGTTTCTCAGAGATATTATTAGGATTCCTCTCGTACTGTTTAGCCCATTTTTATGCTGTACGGATGTGAATCCCAAGCCGTTTTGCAGCAGCATCCGCGCTCAGACACTTCTCAAACAACAGTTTGAAAAGCCTCATTTTGTTCTGATTTAGATAAAAAGCATTCTTCCACCAAAGGTGGATTTATTTTCTAGAGAGGATGTATGTAGTTGATTAGTTATAATCTACAATAAAAAATATTTGGTGCAAAGTGATAGTTAAGAAACTCCCCTTGCTTAGGAGGAGAGAACAACAGAGGATACAGTAGCATAGAGCATAAAAACAACACGTTAGACTTTCATTTCAATGTATAAACAGTGTCATGTTACTATTTCCTTTAGCACAGGAAACAATCACAGAATAATAATAATAATATCATCAACATGATTAAGGATACTAAAAAGGTTAAGCCATTGTTACCATTCTGTATAGTCAACAGGCTAATTAAGCGGTAAGCTTCTTTCGAGCATTGGCCAATCAGAGAGGCGAATAACTCAACATATTTTGATGATAAAGGGGATATCCAGCAATGTTTGCAAGATTCTAAAAATGATGAATCTCAACTTTTATTTTATTCTACACAAATATGTAAATGTATTATAAAACACTCCAATCAATAGAAGCCTTATCCGAAAGCCCCAAATAAAACTCGACATGAGTTTTATCTGGGTTAGGAATGACGCTTCGAATAGGCTGGCTTAAAGGAAAAAACTTTTTCTTTTCAACGTCTGTGATAACAATACGTTTCCCTGGTGGCGGTGGAGTAGACAAATCAATTTCTGATAAAAGATCACGAAAGGTGTACGTGTCAGTAATAGCCAAATTACGAATATAATAAATAGAATCATTGGTTATGCTTTTGAGTGAGACTGTTTCAATTTGTTGTTGTTGTTGTTGCTGTTGTTGCTGTTGCTGTTGATGATGATGTTGATGATGAATGAAAGAGAGCTGATGCTGTAGATTGTAAGTCAATGAGTTCAATGCGGTATTTCTTAATGGAGGAAGCAGTTGTGAAGAAAAGCTGCAGGATGGGGGCTGACGAGGGTCAGAGATATATGTCATGTTATTAAGTACAGGAGTAGACGTGCTCGAGCTAGGTTCTATGCCTCTTTTCCTTTTCATGGATGTTGAGGCTGTTGGACACTCAGGGGGTGATGGCTGAGCTAAATAAGGAAGATCACGTACTTTGGCTGCAAGTCCAAATAATCTTGGATGATCTTCCGAGGTTCCACTAGAATCAGCAGGTGACGGTGGAGCTTGATTGCTACGCTGGTGCTTCTTTTTGGCTCTGTATAAAGTGCTTGAATGTGCCTTACAGAGTGACACTTCAGTCATTTCATTCAAGCCAATAACTTTATTCTCTTTATCTCTGTAAATCTGATGTATATTCTCATTCAGCCACTTGATTGTGAACTCATAGTCATTTCTATCTAATTTATTCAATTTCTTTGCCCTTGAGTCAAGTCCATTCTGGGGCAAATTCTTTCCTCGTCGAGGTTGCATTTCTATACACTGACAATTGATACCATAATACTATATTTAATTAGAAACGAGTTGCTTTTAATACGCATTCAGTCTTACACCAGAGCAAGTAAAGCAAACAGCACATATAATACACGCATTCTGATAACACTCTTAATATATTTACACAACTATTTCATTTACTTACCTTTCTCATTACCAGTGGTCGACTATGGTCATTCTTGGTCGAAATGGGTCCTTGCTGATGGAGTGGTAGTTCTGTTACAATTTGTGCTAGTTGAAATAAATTATTTCCAGTCATTAAAAAAATAAATAAATAAAAGGAAAAGAAAAAGGAAAAGAAAAAAGAGGGGCAACTTTTGTTTATTTTTGCTTTCTTTCTGTCTTTTTTCTGCCTTTTTTTATTTTACCTTATTGGTAATGTTTCACGTATAAACAACAACCTTTTACAACCAATATTTAACAAAATAAATAACAAATACGTATCAAAGTCGCGCCCCGCTAATTCTAAACTCGCTACTTCTTTGCAAAGTAATTCCAAATTATATATCGCATACACAGAAAATATTGTCGTACAACACAAGTAGATCCATCTCCGTGTAAAAACACTCTCGTTTTCGTAATTGTTCATTCTGTTTGCTTTTTTTATAGAAACGATCATCTTGATACACATGAAGGTTCCTAAACTTGTGAATTATATCGTTGATGAATGGATATATACACATGAAATATTTACATAGTATATCTTGGGAGAGTAGTTCTGGATCTGTCCCCCCAAACTAATATAAATAATGATGAGAGTAGCGGAATCTAAGAGTTGCTACACAATGGACACTGACCAAGATAAGGTCAGTTTTTTCAAGCTAATGTCTAAAAAGATCTCGAGCGTGTCATCTGCTGCAAATTACACTCTCTCATCTGTAACTATGAACGTCACAGTATGCACATTTTTAAAAAGGTGTTGGTACTTTTGTGTATTCGGCCATTGAATCTTGGGTACTCGGACATACACAAACCTTGGTGCCTGGATAGTCCTTTCTTTTCAACTCGACACATTACGAACAGCATTGACCTAATTTCCTATTAAAGCTATTACTATAATTTACCCATGTTCATGAAATTATAGACCATTGAAGACGTTTCATTCCATAAAGTTTAATGTAGGACACTTAAAGAACGGTTAGCAATATTACGTATGTTCTATCCACTTCTTCAAGGATAGCACTTCCCTTTTTAAGAAAATATGAGCTCAAGAGCAAAAGTTGAAAAGAGAGCAACGTGTATACACTGCAAAAAAAAAAAAAAAAAAAAAAAAAAAAACCATCAAAATAAAACTTATACCAAAAAGTACTTTGTATTAAAACATTAAACTTAAAATTGCAGAGTTTATTCAGTGCCAACAAGAGTGATTGATAAAAATATACTATAATTAAAAGCAATACTGGCAATATTCAAGTCATGATTCAACTGTTTCCTTTCTTGTTAATCAAAATAAACGTTGTGGATCAAATTTCTCCTTATTTGAAAGGGGATAATGAGCTAGAAATGGTATGACAATTTACCTACAATTTCTTTCAAAAGATTAATCCTATATATCCCAAAATCCTTCTCTTTCTCTCTCCCTCCCCTTGTTCGTGTAAACAAATGCGCATCATTGTGAAAATAATTAAAAAAGCAACTTCGATCGGGATAGTAAAACAATGTTGTCCGGGCCGGACTGCTTTCACTTCGCCTGCCACCCACTCTCACTCTTCCCCATTTGAGAGAATAGGCCTTTGGCATATCCAAGAATCCTTCTTTTCCCAAAACCATAGGTAAGATCATCCATCCTCAAAATATACAATGAAGAGAATAAGAAGGGGGGGGGGGAATGGTGTCATCAGGAGAGAAAAAGAGATTGAGATTATAGATTGTTGCAACAACAAATTCATCAAAAAGAGAAAACAACAATGTTTAAAGACAGAAACACAATGACAGATAGAACTGACTGATTCTTTTTTTTCTTCTTTAAAGAACATCACAATGGCTCAACGTCTCACCTACAGACGCCGCTGCTCTTACAACACTCGCTCTAACCGCGTTAAGGCTGTCAAGACACCTGGTAATGAATAAAAAGAGATCAGTCATGCCAACAATCCAATTAACATTTTTTTTTCTGTTAGGTGGAAAGTTAGTTTTCCAATACCAAAAGAAGCCTGTCAAGGCTCCCCGTTGTGGTGACTGTGGCGAAAATCTCGCTGGTGTAAGTGACAGATGGAATGATTGAGAGAAAAGGAGATGAGATAATTAACACACGTGCATATATAGATCAAGGCTCTCCGTCCCCGTGAATTCGCCACTATCTCAAAGACCAAGAAGACTGTCAGCCGTGCCTATGGTGGTTCTCGCTGCGCTCACTGTGTCAGAAACCGCATTGTCCGTGCTTTCTTGATCGAAGAACAAAAGATTGTCAAGAAGGTCCTCAAGGGTACCAAATAAGCTGACCATTTTATGTCAATTTGGATAATGATAATAAAAAGCGTGACCTTTTAAAAAGTTTATTTGAATGACTTTATTATTATGTGTGCTTGACTTTTTGACGCTTAGCACCTCGTTGATCTTTCTTCCACTCGTCCTTTTCTTTGTTATCCTTCTTCATCTTGGTATGTCTGGCACTTAATAATTTTTGCATATTCTTTGTCTTCTTGAATTGAGGATTTGTAGGATCAATAGCAAAATGATGTGATTCTTGAATAGCAGAGAAACGTGGATCATTAATATCAAGCTCAAAGTCATCTTCTGTCTCTTCAGCTTTCTTTCCTTTCTTTCCCTTCTTCTTCTTCTTTTCCATCTTTTCTCGTTTTAACACTTCCTTCATATTGAAACCTTCGTCTTTGCCATCGTCTCCCATAAGGAGTTCGAGTTCAGCACGTTCACGAGCCTTCTGTTCACGCTCTTCTCTGGAAGCTCGCTTCTTCTTGGCCTTCTTTTCACTGTTATCAGCACCCACAAAGCCTTCTTCTGCCATTTCTGACAGTGCTTCCTTAAAATATGGATCACTCTCCATATCAGCATCGATATCAGCTATAATACACCGATTAATAACTGCATTCTCACCAGCAACTTTAATGTGTGCAACTTACATTCATCTTCATCTTTGGAGGTTTTATTGTTTTGTTGCTTGGCAGCCTTCTTTGCTTGCTTCTTTTCTTTGACCTTACGCATGTATTTCTCAATCGTTGTCTCTTCTTTATCTTCTTCCAGTTGATTCTTAACAGCTACACTTGCTGCTTCACTCAAACCGGGTGTAAATGTGATTTCCATATCACCCTCTTCTTCATCTTCTTCATCTACCTTGTCTTCATAGGCATTGCCGTTATTTGATTCTAATAATTTTCTATATTTTTCCTTTAATGCTTCTACATCCTCTGTCTCTTCTTCGTCATCTGAAGAGGCAAGATAGGCATCAAAATCAAGGTTTTTCAAATCGTCCTGCGTAAACTCTCGTCTCAATGTCTGGTATCTGTCAACATCATCTTCATCCCAAGTTAATTTCACTTTGGTGTTCTGGAGAGCCTCTGTTGTGAATTTGGTGGGTGCATAATTGTCAGGTACGATGGTAGCCTTGTCTTTGATTTCTTCATTATTAAATGACATGTCATTGGGTATATAGCGTAAATCAAAGAAGTTGGCACTATTCTCATACTCTGTATTATCACAGGCATTATAAATGATCTTGGCTGTTTGAGCACTATCACATTCTACTACTGCATAATAGTACTTGAGTCTGTCCAGTTGATATTTGCGTAATGCATCCTGATCAAAGTCACGACCATCTCCTTCTTCCACTTGATTCTTAATGATTGTTTCTGCTGTAATTTCTTCTTCTTCTTCTTCGTCACTCTCGCTGTCGGATCCATCCTTCTTTTTGAAAATCTCTCTAGGTGGACCGCTGACTTCTTCAGCTGCTAGTCGCTCTTTTCCAAATTCAGATGGGTAAATGGTGACGCTTTTGATGATACCCGTATCAGGCTTAAATCCATTCAGTGCCTTCAAGATATCAACGGCCTTGATTTTATCCCAGTCCATGTTGACAAGAGCCAATCGGTGTGTTTCATCACCTTCATGAATACGCTATGATGATTACTTAGACGACAAGAAATATGTCGATTGATTATAACTACTTACTCTAATCGCATCCATCTCATCGGGTTCACTTTCCAAGTCCTCTTCGTCTTCATCCGTATCCTCATCCTTATCTGAAGAGGAAATTTCACCTCGACCACGCATAGGATCATAACCAGCCAAAAGCTTTTCATCAAGTAAATTCTCTTCATCATCTGCTAATTCCTTTTCTAATTCTTCCAGCGTCTGTTCTTCATCGCTTCTCTCTTCTTCCCCTTCGTCTTCTTCTAGTTTATAATAACGCTTTAATTGTTTTTCGGCAGTGTTTTGTTTTAATTTGCGGCCATATTTATCAACGCGAGCTAATGCATAGAATTAATAACTATAGAAAAAGATATTATAACAACTTACGAGCATCGCTAAATTCAGCAGAGTTCATCATGGAAGCGAAACGTTTATCAATAGTAACCTTCATGTCCTGTTTCTTTGGTCTCATGAATCGAGGATCATGATGAACATTGGCGAAACGAGGATCTTTTGTCACAGGCTTCTTTACGTTATTGTTATGTTGCTTGGCCATGACTAAATAAAGTTTTTTTTAAAAAAAAGGAATATACAAAAAATAAGGGCAGATATGAAAAAGGATCTATTGTCACAACGGCTGCTAAGCCACTTAGAGGGAAGTGGGATATGAAATGTTGGATAGAATTTGCTTGAATTTTAATAGTAGAGAAGAATAAGAGAAATAATGGTAAAAAAAAAGACAACAAATGAGAAAAAAGAAAAGAGGGTTAATTAAGTTACTAAGAACAGAGAAAATAGGGCAATCACACGTTACTTTTAATACAACCAAGCCAGAGACCAAGGTAAATGAAAAGTTGAACGAATTGTTATTGATCTAATTCATTAAAAATAGCTCACGCAACTATCAGTAAGTTTATTAACCACTTGCTTTTCACGATAAGGTTTTGCTTATTGTTCTATTCAGTGATTTTGAGACAGAAAGTCAAGCATTTGATCGTAAGTTTGTGTATTTTAAGAATCAATTTTAAGCTGACATCGCGTATGAACTAGGCATTGCAGAAATGTATGAGAACCAACTTGCTAAAGAAAATCCCAACGTAGGACAAATTCAATACAGGTATATATTTAAAGTGATGACGTTAATAAAGAAGCAAAAGAGGAGAGAGCTAATATCAAGGGGGTAAAAATGATAGAGCTGAAGACTTGTTTCGATTTATTGATTCACACAAAGAGTTTGTTGCGCTCGTTTTTGATCCAAGAACATCTGTAAGTTATCTGATGTATAACTTACTATTTGCTAATTACTCTATAGACATATCGACCTCATGATAAAGACTGGATCAAGGATCGTTTGATCGCACATTTTAGCAGACAGCAAGCGAGTGCCCCACCAGGCCAACCTCGTCGCAATAACAGACGTTATCACTAAATAAAATTTATAAACTCAATTTTAATCCCGATATTATGTTCCAAAGTAACTTGCGGCCCTTTTTTCTCTCCCCTTTTTTTTCCCTTTCTGTTCTGTTAAGGAACTCATCATCTAATGTAAGTTGATATAACAAACTCGCCTTTTGTCTTGTTAAGTTATTTGATAGATGAGTGTACAAACACCTGTCATAAAGTTACCTAAACGAAAGCCTAGTATACTAGTCAAACAGTGTGAGGCGCCTGAGGTGGATGATTACCTCGTATCGGATACGCTATTCATGAATAAACTACCAAAGAATGTACGAGAGAGTGATATACGTGCTCTTTTACAGCATTGTATGCCTATAGAGTAGAGTAACAATCTGCAAGTATTACACAAAATAATAACTCTTTTTATTTAGAATCATCATGGATCGAGAGAAAGATTGTGGGCAGTTACGATTTAGTCACATTAAATTCGGTAAATGAACCATATAATATGCTTAAATCAGTTAATAACTTTTTTTTTAAAAAAAAAAAGCGGACAGAGCTTATTCTTTATATAACGGGTTTACATTTACCAATAATGCAACATTAGAGTTACAAATGTACCAAGACAGCCGCTTAGAGCGTGAGGCAGAAGGCGTATTATTACAAGTGAATGGTTTACCAAAGTATTATGATGAAAATAAGCTTTATGATACCTTTCGTCCGTTTGGTCCTTTAGATTTATGCAAATGTGTTCCGGATGATGATGGCTTATATAAAGGGACAGCCTATATACGGTACTTTTACCAGCATAATTCTGATAATGCACAAAAACGTTTGGTAATTTTTCTATATTTATTTATATATGCAGTGACTCATGTGTCATTATCACTAGGATGGATACGTAATAGATGGATACAAGATGTAAGTAACTTCTAAGGAGAATCAGAACAAAAGAGAAAAAGAGAGAGAGAGAGAGAGAAAGGATAAAAAGGGGAATATAAAAAACGAGAAATTAGTATCAATTTAAACCAAAAAATATATAATGTTTAAGGAGGATAGAAAAGATCAAGAGGAGACGCAATATCTCTCTCTCTTTCTCTTTCCTTTTTTTTTTTTTTTCTTTTTTTATATATTAATCACTCATATCGCTGTAGATCTGTTACACAGTGCATGTTCTTAAAAGCACATTCGACATCACCCTACCAAAAAGACGAGGTAAACAGAATATGATCCTTCAAACCGAGTCTTACATCAATGTATAGATAATGGAAGACACTAATGGCAGTCCTGTTATTGACAAGATGAATTTGTATGTCAAAAACCTCGATCCAAAAATCAATAATCAGGAATTAAATCAGCTGTTTCGAAAGTATGGTAAAATCATTTCGGCTAGAGTCATGACGAATCCAACAACTGGTCAATCCAAGGGATATGGATTTGTCAGTTTCAGTAAACCAGAAGAGGCAGAAGCTGCTAAAGATAAAATGAATGGCTTTATAGTCGGCGGCCGTGCACTGACTGTTGCTTATCATGAACCCAAGAAAACCAGAGCTAACAATAACAATAATAACATGAATAACCATAATAACAATTACCAGCAACCACAACAATATCAACAACATCAACAATACCAACAGCAACAGCTGCCACTACAGCAATCACAACAGTATCAACAGCAACAACAGGAGCGCTCGTATCGCCCTAGTTTTGTCTGTCAGCCACCTTCCTATTTTGAACCACAACAATCGTACCGATCTAGTAGTAAGTATGCACCCATGACGTTTGTGTTTGGCTAACGTCAAACTTGTAGTGAACGGCTTGGGTATTGACCATATGGACGAGTTAGGCATAAACATGAATGTTAGAGATCTTTCTATTGGACAAAAGCCTATGTACAGGAAGCCCTCAGAGCAATACTCTCCCTTGACAACCAGTACTGTAAAATCATTGGCCTCACTAGCATCAGGTGCAAGCATCCAACGCACGCCATCCAATTATATTCAGCTACCGCCAAAACGACCCACCTTACGCCGAAAGGGTTCCTTAGAGTCTGTGATGACTGAATCAAGTGCGAATATACAACGGGCCAGACTGGAAACAGCTGTCAGTAGCTGCGGTGACTACGGCGAGCACATTGGCGATATTGTCGACATGCTGCTCACGTTGAAGCGAAAGGAGCGATCATTGTGTTTATTCAACCCTGACTTTCTAAAGGAAAAGATTAGCCTTGCTTTGGAGGCTCTGGAAGCATGTCAAGAGTCTGAAGAAAGTGAGGATGAGATGGTGATGGACGCTGCCGAAGATGAGTTTCAGAGCTTAAAAAAGTAAGATTTTATATTGTTTTATAGCTTGGTATGCTTATATTTATCTTCTTTGCCTTAGAAACCGCGCTCCAATCTCACCAGTATACACGACGGCATACCAGCCTATGAGCCCTCCATCACAGCCCAAGTCAAAGGCTATTCCTATCGTGGCTCCTCCTTCTGCGTCATCAGCCTCTTCTTCTACCTCACATCAGCAACCCATGACCAACAAAGATACCAACGAAGAGATCCAAGCGCTTATAACTTCCTTTGAAGGAAAGCCGATTCATGAAAAGAAACAGTTATTAGGAGATAAACTGTTTCCTCTTGTAAAAGTAAAGCATCAGTATATGCCTCCTTCATATCCTAACCTTTTTTTTTGTAGGCTACGGGTACAAAGCAAGCACCTAAAGTGACTATCCGCTTATTGGATACTGTGGATTTGCATGAATTGGCTAGAATTATGTTTGATACCCCTTTATTAAAATCTCGTGTAGAAGAAGCATTTAACTCTTTATGATAATAAAAAAGTCCTACCTTTCAAAGGCCATATAAAACCATATTACTACTTGACTATTATGTATGCTTGTTGATATAAGCAAATAAACATATACTCTCATAAATCATGGCTATCATCATCATACATACAAGGGCATATTTTCCCCTTAAAGATCTTAAATTAAGGGTTATCAATAAATGAAACACGATCATAAAAGAGCTTTACCCCCTTTTCGTTTTAGAATGTTTCGCGGGCAAAATGTTCCCCCCGCTATCAAAGTGTCGAATAGGGAAATGGTAGAAATAGAAAAGGTAAAATAATAATTATACAGTTGAACAAGGCGTGCCTTTAAAAA